TAGAACAAAGAGATATAAGAAATGCTGCCTGCATGACTCTGAGAAAGTCACTTCACCTGATTTAGTCTTTTTCCTTAGCTGTGAAATAAAAATATAATCACCAATTTGTTGCAGGAATTCTCCAAAAGGCTGAGGTTCAAAATTATCTACATAGTAGAACTACCTACAGGCATGGTAGCACATGCCTGTTGTTATCCCAGTACTTGGGAGGAAGAAGCAGGAGGATCGCCATGAGTTCAAGGCCAGCCTGAACTGTGAGATCCTGTCTCAAAAAGCCAAAACCAGAACCAACATCAAAGCCAAAAACAACCAAAAAAAGGAATTACTCAAAGAATGAAGAAGGTGTCTCTCTCTCTCTCTCTCTTTCTCTCTCTCTTTGTGTGTGTGTGTGTGTGTGTGTGTGTGTGTGTGTGTAAAACTTGTCTTCCCCTGGCCAAAAGACTGTTTAATCTTAGTGAAGGGGCCCAAGAATCATCAGTTTTTATAAGCACTTGAGGTGTTTGTAATGCTCATCCAAGTGGAAAAATGACAAGATTAGATGAATCTCTTTAAGATGTAAGTTATGTTACATGAGTTGACAGGGAATTAAGTAGAGATTTGTTACCAGAAATAATTTTGTTCCAGATAAATCGTTCACAAATAATGACACAGACTTGTGTCTTGGCCTCCAACTCTAGGTGTTACCGGGCTCCTGATCCAAACTTCAGCTCACAGGCTCCATTGTTGTCTCAATCTCCCACCCCTATGTTACTCCATGTTACCTTGCCCAGGTGTTGGCACTACCCAGTGATTAATGAGTGATAGTTAATGACTGATAACTGGTCCTGTATTAACCTGGCCTCAAGATTCAAAATTTCCAATGTCTGCTTCTTAGTTTGGTGCAATGGTCCTTCCTCAAGCCTCTAGATATTTTTGGAAGAGGATTTCTGAAAATGGCAACATGGTGCAGGAAAAATAACATATCAGAAATGTGGTTCAGAAGCAGGTCTATTTTCTAGAAGCAGAGAATTTATATTCCAGAAGCAGATCTCGCCTTCTCCATAGAGATGTATACCTTGAAAAGCTGAAGTTTTTAATCTAATAGCTACTATTTTATACTGTTATTATGCATGAAGCATAGTGCTAGGCACTCAAGGTGTAGTAAATCATCTTATCCTTTATTTGCTTTGGAGGTAGGATTATTTTATTTACAGGTGAGAACACAAAGGCTCAAAGTGATTGAGTAACTTGTCCAAGGTCAGAGAGCTAATAAGAGGCTGGAACTGCTTCTAAGAACTGGAATTTTAATTTAGATCTGATTCAACATCTAAAATACTTTCTCCCCAGTGCTCTTATCTGTAAGATAAGAATAATATTATCCTTATGGTATTGTTACAAAGATCAAATGAAAGAAATTTAGTGGAAGTAAACATATCAAAGAGCATGCTGGGAGTCTTGTAGCAAGTGACATACAGCAAAAAGCCTTTTTCCTTTCTCCCTCTGCAAAATCAGTGTCAAAATGTAAAATGTGTCTGCTGCTGCTGGGCGTGGTAGTACATTCATGTAATCCCAGCATGTTGGAAGGTGAGGCAGGAGGACTGCTAAGAGTTTGAGGCCTGTTTTGGCCAGAGAGAGTTCAAAGTCAGCCTGAACTGCATAGCAAGATCTTGTTTCAACAAAACAAAACAAAAAAATAACAAACAAAAAAATGTCTGTGCTACTTTCAGTGTGACCAGAGACAAGGTCAAATGGGGGCAGGATACATATTTGTAAAAATGAAACAGCAATGTGGGGATACATGCTACATCATAAATGTGGGAATAACAACAACAATGATCTGGGATCCCAGTGGATCATTAGTCAAACATGGTCCAGTAGTAATGTTTCATAATATGGCAAAGATTTTATTGGATAAGTGAAGAGCTTGAGAGGACACCACTTTCTCACAGCCATTACCATGCAGATATAGGAAAAGACCAAGAAAAAGTGAGTACCATATTTGTTGGCAGGCACACAAGTGGGTGTCATATCTTTTGGCAGAGAAAAGAGGGTACATGTGCAGAAGTCCAAGAGTCCAAAGTTCCAGGCACAAAAAGTCATGTTTGACAGTAGATCATGAGACAGCTGAAGGTGGAATGGGGATGAGGGTGGGAAAGGGCAATAGAGTGAGATGACCTCAGTGAGTAGCAAAGTGACGAAATGATTTCCAGGTGGGTCATGACAACTCCTAACAGGCTACCAATCTGAATCCATTCTGGTCACTCTACAAAGCCATCTTGGACTCTGGTTCCCAATGTGAGGGGAAACTGGTGAGCTAGGATATGTCCAAGATCAGAGTAAGGGGCTGGGTTTTGAGTCACAGAAGGAAGCAGAAGGCTGTTTTACCTGCTGAAGCCTCCAAGGCATCTTGAGAGTTATCTTCACACATCACAAATAAGCAGAAGACATTGTTAGGTAGAAAAGTCAAGGCTTCTAGAAGGCTACAGTTATGGAAGGCAGGATTCCAGTGAGGATAGTGAGAGGAGCATAGATACGAGTGGAGAGTAACTTTCGTTCACTAACAGCTGTCTCAACATGGTGGAAATCAGGGTAGAGCTCTTCTAGTCCCTGGAAAATTTTCCCAGTTGCTCAATGGTTTGGGTATGCTGTAAAGAGGGCTAGTAGGATGGTTCAAGGTTAAGTGACTAGTGCTTTTTTGGTCTTTATTAGAAATTTTTCTTCAAACGATAGTTTATGGGAAGCCCGGTAAATAAAACACTAGTTCTCTGGTTGGATTGAGAGTAAGGACTAGACTCTCAGGGTCTTTACCTCTAAGGAACTTCTGAAATTTTCTGAAGCACAGTTTGAAAGTTCATGATTGAAGAGTTTCTTGTTTTCTGAACCAGTTTTTCTTCTACTGGTTCCTGAGGTTTGAAGAATTCAGAAATAGCCCCATTTGAATGGATGTGAGAAATGAGCTTGCTCATTGGATACTACAAATCATAGCATTAAGCCTGGAGCATGGACAGTTGCTTCTATTCTAGGCTTGACCCTGATGAAGGCAGCAACCTTCAAGTCATCTTTTCCCCTTCCATGCTCCAAGTTTTTCATTTAGCAGAACAGCAATAAAAATGCTGTCACCAAGCTGCCATATTAAGAGAACTGATAAGACCAAAGTGCTCCCTGAGAATACAGCACAGAGTGAACACATGTGCACACACACAAATGCCCCCCACCCCCATATCCCACCAAAAATAGTCTGGAGGAATAAGAAACCGAATGTACACATTCTTTCTTTACCAGGAGGAAAACTGGCAGACATGTTCCACATGACAGGTTCTATCGGTCTCCCAGGACTTCCTAAGACGTGAGTTCACTGTTGGAGCAGGGCTTCGAGGTGATTTGGAGGTTTCCATCTTTTTGGAGCCAAGAAGAGGAGAAGTATAAATATAAGGAGGAGTATAAGTCCACTGGCAGCATGTTACCAACTCGCTCAGGATAAGCTACATTCTAAGTCCCTAGAAAACCTTAGTGATCATTGTTACGTGCATATATTACAAGGCCAGCTCTGAACTCTTGGGGGCTCCTGCATTGCTGCATTAAACAGCTATCTTTTGAGACTTTACTATTGTCTACTTGTTATTCTCTTTAATGTCATAACCACTTCCAGAGTAGGAACCATGGTCTGGCAAGCTTTGCATCCTCCATAATACTCTGCAGGATTCTGTAACACTTGGCCATTTTCTGAGAAGGTTCTATGTTTTACTTTGTATTATAATTTTTCAGGTGAGTGTCTCACCTGAAATGTGGGTCCCCCGAGGGCAGGGACTAAACTGTGCCCAGAAAGAGAAATAAGTATGCTTATTTAGCTCTGCTCTAATGTCTTAGCACCTGCTTTTCTTTACCCAGTAGTATCCTCCCAGCTCAGGTATTAGCTATCACTTCTGCAGATGTTACTCTTGACCATGTAGTTATTACTTTCACTCCAGTCTATCATGTTAGTTTATTATTTTTATAGCACTGCCAATATATGAAAGTCATTGGCTTGTCTTCTCCACAGAATATAAACTACCGAATAAAAAGTTAAAAAAAAAAAGAATATAAGCTACAGGCCTTATTTGTCCTTTTCATAGTTGTATTATCCAATTTTCTAAAACTGTGGTTGTTATATAAAAGGCACTCATCAACTATGGATGACTGATGAATAACTGCTAAATCAAATGGGTGAGTGGCATTAGTATTTCTCCAAGACTGAACAAAAGGTCAGTATCGTGGGAAATGCTGGAAATGGGACATGTGTCTCTAGTTTCCACACTGGTTGGAGAAGAAATAAGCACCTATATGAATAGCCTGAGATTAAGACAGGGCAAACTGTCATGGGTGGTGGCGCACTAGCACTTGAAAGTTGAGGCAGAAGGATTGCCACAAATTGAGGCCAGCCTGGGCTACACAGGAGCGCAAGGCCAGCCTGGGTTAAATAGACTCTGTCTCAAAGAAGAAAAAAAAAAAAACCAAGGAAAACTGTGACTAGGTGCTGGGAGTGAGGTTCAGAATTACAGGCAAGAGAAACATATGCCTAAAACAGAGTTTGAGAGCAGGGATCACACCCTGCTCACCCACACACTGGCAGCAGAGGAGGTATTCTGTGAGCAACTATTGAATTCACTAAGACAGCCCACCCATTGGTGGGCTGTTAATTAGTGGGCATTGGTAATGCCAGATGAGATACAGAGGCTTTGTGCATAACTTGGTGCCTTGGTTTGCAAATTTTTTTTCAACAAATTCCTAATCTTTGTGTTACGAGATCCTTCTGGTCGGGTGATACAGCTCAGTGGTAGAGAACTTGCCTGTATGCACAAGGCCCTGGTTTTGAAACGTGGGAGAGAGGGAGAGATTCTCTATATATATATAAAAAAGGGGGCTAAAGATATAGCTCTATCATAGAGCACTTGTATAAGGTCCTGGATTTAATACTCAGCACAGGGAAGAGAAAAAAGAAAAAAAGAAAAAAAAAAGCACACACACATACCAGTAAGATAATAGTTTGGCTACAATTTATATAATTTATTTATTCAAGAACTGAGTATCTTCTATGGTCCACACCATGTTCCTGGTGCTGAACACAGATAAATTCTGGCCCACAGGAGCTCACAGTCTCACAGGGAAAAGACACAAAAATAAATAATGTAATTAAGAGTTTGCAAAGGGAACCACTAAGAGCAGGGAGAGAGAACAGGGGGACCTATATCCTCTGATCCATATCTACAGGAGGGAAAAGATTGGCTGACATTGTCAGAAGAATAAATAAGGCAATATTTTTCAAAATACAACTTTCTAATTATTTACAACAGAATCATATGGAGCACATAGTAAAATATATATCCCAGCACTTCTGCAAATTTATAATTCAGAAAGTTATGGGACTGGGAATCAACATTTTAAAGCACTCGGAGTGATTCTACTGCATCTTTTTTTTATTTACAGCTTTTATTTTTTATTCATAAGTTTACTGGTACATTTCAGGTATACATAATGATCACATTCTTTATAGTCCACTGTATCTTAACATTTGAAAATCGGTAAGATATGGTATAAATTGAAATGAATAATGATCTATACATCTGTTACGCTAATCTGTACTAGTCTTTAGTAAGGGCAGGGGAAGTACAGAAGAGGAAAAAGGTTGACATTTATTAAGTTGCCCTATAATCTATATATAAGTTAACTTCTTGTAATAATCCTATGAGGTAGATACTATAATCTCCACTTTGCAGAGGAAAAAAGGATAGAGAGTTTAAGTAATCTGTTTGATATTACAGAGTTAATGAGTAGTGACACTGACATTTGAAGATTCATTTAATTATAAAGCCTGCCAACTTCCTATAGGGATGTCAGGGGAAAGATTAAATATTATAATTTTCTTTTAGCTCTTTGGTAGCTCTCTCGATAAATAAATATCAAGAACAGTCAGATGGTAGTATAGTGACATCCAGTATCATTGATTACCCACGATACAACCTTCTTTGGTAAGCTGAGATTGAGAGCAAAGCTGGAACTGTAAAACAAATGGCCATTTCTTACCTCTTTTTCCATCATTTTCTCACACCATGGTGGAGGTTTATGAAAATACCCTATAGTTAAGAACTGGGTGCATCTGGAGGGAAGAACAAACATAATTGGACACCCATGAATGCAACCCCAACTGCTGTCTATGACTTCTGGATTGCAAAACATCTGGAAGGTCAGATGGCATTCAAGGAAAATGGTAAGACTGATAAAACTCGAGTTTCTAAAAAGATGAACTGTCAGGACCAGTAGCAGATCCAGAATTTGCATTAGGAAAAGCTCAACCTGTAGGGAAATTATGGAAGGGATAGTAGCTTCTTCAAATGAAATAAACATTATATATGTATCTCTCTATACACTGACTCAGATGTACAACAGAAGTAGACTGTTCAGAAAATACTGGGAAGTCCAATCCTATTTTCCTGGGAAACCGGGTATAGTGATGCATGCATGTAATTCCAGCATTTGGGCTGAAGCAGGATTGACATGAATTCAAAGGCCTCCTGAACTACATAGGGAGACCTTGTCTCAAAAACAAAACAAAACAAAACAAAAGCTTGGAGGACAGGCCCAACTTATAAAAACTTACATAATAAAGAAAAATACACACAGATGCATGCATGTGCATGTAGAGAAACATACATACTGGATGCTGCTTAAATTTCTGCTCACCATATTTTGCCATCCAACTAGATCTTAGGTAGGGGCAGCAGATAAAATGTACATGTTAGATTAAGAAAAGGAAAGGCATGGTACAGGTAGTTGACAAATATCCTGGGGATTCTTGGGGCCTCAAGTTCAGAAGGCTGCTATGTAACTACCATCCTCTTCTATCACTGAGTTGGGAGCTACTCAAAACTGCACATGGGCTTCTAGCGCTAGAAAACAACTTTCTTATTTTTGGTGTCTCAAGAAATTGGTGTCCCAAGATAAGTTTTGATGAAATCAACCCATAGCACCAAAACTATGGACAGTAAACAGCTCAGATTTCACTATTTTGCATAACAAAAACTATAAGCCAGATTTTATTTTATTGCTACATTTTCCCCACACTCAATCTGAGAATATATGCTCCCACCTATGTTTTCATATAATGCTTAGGGTTGGTTTAAAAAAATCATGCAAATCTGAAATGATCTTTTCCTTAGAAAGATGTTTTATTTACCCTGTGTTGATTTACTTCTTCCAAACAACCTGTAACAGGCAGAGCTAGAGGAGTAGATGTCATAATCTATAGTTTAACAATATGTAGGCACTGTACCTATTTATCTAACTGTATCTGAAATTTGTTGACACCCTAAACCAGCTACAATAAAGATAATTACTATGGGGAGCATCTAGATGAAGTCTTTATCCTGGTGGGACTATCTTCTTATTTGGAGCCTAAACAGAATACCAGGATTATGCCTTTGGCCAGCTGCTAGGCATATGGGAAGATTACATAAAACACATCTACCTACATCAGGTCTTTAAACTTATTATCTTGTCTCAAGTTCATAAAGATGTAGAACTGGAAGCTATAAAGTCAAAATAGCCAAAATGTGACTGCACTGTGAAATAAACTGCCCTGCAGATTCCTGGCTGTCTCTTGACCAGAAACATTTAAAAGGAAACCTCGAGTATGCTGAGAGGTAATTATCACAATATGTGGGAACTTTTATTTCTGAATGTCAAGTATTAAGGCTCATCTCCATGTTCACTTCTTAAAATAAGTACATAGAGTAACTCTTTACAGACTGCTTAGTATAGATGCTGAGCTCTTGAGGTCAGGGTGGTGGTGGTTGTTTTCTTACACTATCCAGGGTTGAGCTGACTCTGTGAAGGGCCAGTTTTTATAGTTTCTAAGTCTCATCCTTGTTCTGGGTACATTTCAGTTTTGCTCCAAGTCCACTTTGCTCCAATTCAGCGATGACAGACATATATTTGAACTCATTTGGTCTGAAGTTAAATGTCTCCACTAACCCATAGGTCTCTTTACGATCAGTGGCATAGAAGAGCTGAACTTGATTGGCGATGCACTGTGCCTCAGTAACATTCTGTAAGACAAAAACAGTGGTGAGGTTCCTCCTGACACAGGACCACAAAGTTCTCTGTGTGAATTCTGTGTCGGGGGCTTCACCCAGGAATCATTGCTTTTGAAAACTTCTCTGACTCCCTGGCTCCTGAGTCTTGCCCCTTCTCCATGTTTATCACTGTCACAGGATTTATCACACTGTCTTATATGTGTCCTTTTTTCCCTAATACACACTCCTCAAAGACATAAATTGTGGCTTGTTTTATGGTCCTGCATTCACACATCTGGTGAATGTTTGAACAAATTAATGTATATGTTCATAATTTCCCCATTTAGTTCCTAAATAACTTAAATATATCTCCTAAGGGAAAAAAGAGAAAGAGTTACCAAACTCTAAGAACTGGTTTTTAGGTACTTAAACTGACTAACCAGACATACATGTTAATAAACTCTTCACTGACCTTGCCAGTCAGAAAAACAGTGCCAGAGCCAGCCATGATGGTTTTAGATTTTCCCACAAATTTTATGATATTCCTTCTTTTGGTGATGCCTAAGGTCTCTTTCCTTGTATAAGGCTGTGTACTCAGTCACTTGCCTCTAACAAATAGACTATATGAAATGATAGGGAAGGACTCCTGTTACTAACACATTAAATGACTGTAGCTTCTGTCTTGAATCACTTGCTTTGGTGAAACCCAGCTGCCAGATCATTAGGATACTCAGGTAGCCCTTTAGAGAAGCTGAGGTGGTAAGGAACAAGGGCTCCACTACTAGCCATGTGTGTGGGGGCTAAAAGTGGATCCCCAACTGCAATCAGCCTTCAGATGACTAAGCCATCACCAGCATCTTATCTGCAACCTCATGAGACTCTGAGTTTGGCTAAGCTCCTCCCAAGTTCCTGTCCCACAGAAACTGGGAGGTGACAAATGATTGTTGTATTAAGCCACTAAGTCTTGGAGCAATTTGTTTTGCAGCCATTTATAACTAATCCACCAGCAAAGCCCTAGGAAGAGAAAGGGCCACATCTCTAAAGTACAGTGCACAGAAATGGTGGGCAGACAATACCTGACGAGAGGCGGGGTAAGGTTGGGGAGACACAGGCTACACCCTCAAAACTTCACCAAAGAATTATCTCAACACTGAGTTTTGTTTTCTATATATTCTGCAGTGCTAGCTGGCCAGAGACATTTATCCATCATCACTGAGTTCACATGTTTAAAATAAAACCTCAAAAGATAATGGAAAATTCTAACGTGTGCTTTAGCTACAGGATGATGAAGATGAGTTTATAAACACTATCATCTGTGCTTCACCTTTATTCTCTCCATGAGACTTTCAGATCATTTCTCAAAAGCAGTCTCATCTCTGAGACTGGGCTATTTCAAGTTAATATAAATTTAAAGTTGGAAGGAGTCTTAGAAATCACCTAGTTCTTAATCATGCAGGAAACAAATGTAGATGAGCTTAAGGGATGAGTCCAAGCTCATCTAGTTAGCCAGTGGCAGACCTCAAGATTTCTAGGCTGGGACTCCTTCCACTTCATTCTGCTACTGTTTTGATAATCAAGACTGATTGAAGTTGGTAACTCTATTCCATCAATTTTACCTTTCTTAAGCTCAAACATGTCTAAAGAACATGCTCTTCCTAAAGCAAGTGTATGTCTAAAATTGGAGGCAGATACTACTTCTCTGAGGCTGAAGCTGATAAATGAGACTGACATGAGAAGGGACAAATAGACTGTGCAGCAATCATAAAACTGCTGCTGATACCTGGAGAGAATACAACAGGCTTCATTAGCTATGGGCATATAGTTGTAGCTCTATCTTAGTGAAATTCAACTGGTAATGGGAAAAGGAGGAAAGAAATTACTATGTACAGTAAAGGTTTCACATGTGGACAGTATGAAGAAAGATGAAAGACAAAGAATTACCCTACATTTAGAAAGTCACTTATCTGTCTACAACCTCTCACCTGAAATTCCCTAGGGTCAGATGTGTGTTAGATTTAGAATTATTGGATTTTTAAAAAAATTTTTTTAAGAAACTTTTTTAAGGTAATAGGTTCAGATAATATACATGTGTACTATATAATTCTCCATATTCAAACATACTAGCATTTTACTAATAAAACACAATATTCTATACAAAGTGAAATTTAATAAAGATTATAAATGGCAAGGGCTAGGAATTTAGCTCAGTGATGTACGTGCCTGTTGGCCAAGTGCAAGGTCATGCTTGATTCCCTGGTACCAAAAAAAAAAAAAAAATTATAAATAGCCTTATGTCAATTTAAACACTCAGCTCTCAGATGAATTTAAATCAGGTAAGATTTTGTGACTAAATGGGGGTCAAACAACTATTATAAGTTAAAAAAAAAAAAAAAAGAAAGCCAGGGCTATAGCTCAGCAGCACAGTGCCTGCCTGGTAAGTACGAGGTCATGAGTTCCCAGTACCAACACAACAAAAAAAGAGAAAGTATCTGGAATTTTACTTCTCATGAACTTTGATAGAAGTGCAGCACTTTCAGGGCCACCAAGTAAATCCAAACAGGTAAAGGTGATTCTTACCAGAAATGTGGAATCCATTTCTGCCGTCATCAGCACTATGCCCTTTTCTTCCTTAAGTTCAGGGTAGTGATATAAAATCAACTGGCTGGCTGCAGCGTCCCCTCGGGTCTGCAGGACAAACACTTATTAAGGCTCAATAAGGTACCATGACAACAAATGACCATTTCAAAGCAATAGAGAGTCTGGCGGAAATTCTGGCTCTTGCCACCCGCTTCGGTGGCCAGTGAGCTTGAGGACAGGTATGTAGGGGCGAGGTTGAGCCTGCAAAGGCAGAGTGAAACTGACAGTTTGCACGGTGTTATTTGTGTCTTCAATTGGAAAAGGTTTGGCTTTTTTCCCAGAAAATGTTTATAGAAGGCAGTGAATCCTTCACAGTGGCCATACATTTAAAAATAAAACGGCACAAGCTGCTACCAAATGAAATTCCAAAGAAAGCAATGTGCCTGTGTAATTGCCACTTTTATGGACTAGTGCATTTCATAGCTGAAATATACTCTCCATGGCTGGCTCTAAGACTGAGCTCTTTTAAGTTGTAGTAAGAGCTGGAGAGTTTGTACATGGGTCAGATATGTAGTCTGTGGTTTTAAAATATAATTTGTTTGAGGTGAGAAAGGAAAAAAGAGGAATGGGGACATCATAAGTCCATGAAAAATGATGAGGGCAGTGATTATCAGACCTCAAGGGTAGACTAGGAAGCAAGGTTAAATTCAAGACTAAAGCTCCATGTCTCATCTGGTGCAGAAGGACACTGCATTCAAAATAAGATCCCTGGGCTTCATCTCTAAAATTTCACAGATCTTTTAATGAACATATCTAACTTTTGCTAAGGTATTCTTCAGTCTCTTAGTTCTCTCGAACTTTTAGTATTTTACTGATCATTTTGGTCATTATTCTACTGTTATATTCTAATCATTTTAATCATAATTATGTTTCTAAATCTTTTTCTTGTATATGGGGATAAGCTTCATGAAGGCAAGGACCTAGTCTCAGTTCTCCAGGTCCTAGCATAGTCCTCAACAAAATGATATACTAAGTCAGTTCATATACTTTGGAGTTAGATAACTTGGATTCGAGCCCAGTTCTATCACTTAACAATGTGAACCCTCAAATGTTAGTTATTATAGTATGTGCTCAATAAATTCTTGTTGGATAAATTATACAAAAATTGTGAAAAGCTGCCCCACCATTCTATTTTGCACTTTATTCCAACTTTTTTTGGAGGTAGGGTCTCACTATGTAGTCCAGGCTTGCCTTGAACTCAATATGTAGCCTAGGCTAGCTCTGAACTTGTGACAATCCTCCTGCTTTACTCTCAAGTGCTGAGATTACAGGCCTGTGCCACCACACCCTACTACTTTACCTTGACTTTAAGCCAATCTGACTATCCTTGTTTTTGCTTTAAAAGCTTTAAATATTTAGAATTTAACTTTTAAATCTAACATATAGGAATAAAATGAAAAAAGGAGTCAAATAAAATAACATTAGATGGAAACTTCATTCAGTATCTTGGAATGTTATGACTTGGTTAACAAAACGCATGTAAGACGTGGATTTTTCCTCAACAGGTTTACAGCTTGGGTTAAAAAGATAACTTTGGGTTAAAAAGATAAACAGATATCCCTGTCAGGGATACAGGTCAGTGATCCAGCACTCGCCTGGCAAGTTCAAGGCCCTGAGTTTAATTCCCAGTACAAAAACAAAAACATAATATCCTAATTTAGTCATGTTTGCTAAGTGAGGTACATGCAGTCAATGATACAGAATTTCACAAAGAGATAAAAGAGAGCCAGATGTGCTTAGATAAAGTGTTTTGGAGACTTTTCTCTTTTCTTGTTACTGAGAAAAACTAGTACAACATGCAAAGGATGAAAATTCATCAGTGCCTCAAGTATTGCTAGAAAATAGTAGATATTCTGCACCCCCAAATCTCAGCAAGTACTCCTAGTCTGGCCGAATGATAGGTCTCTTTCCTCTATCCTTATGCTTGCAGGACACAGCCACGTACCTGGATATTTATAAGTGCAGTAAAGTGAAGTTCAGTTCTTGTCCACTGTCCAACAAAGAACTCATAACCTTCCCTTCTTGGCAGGGCACACAGAAACTGTGGGATACAGATACACAAGCAGATGGACAAGTAAACAAAATCATTTGCTCTGAGTCCAACTACCTGTATTTCTTAATCCATTTTTTCAATGCTTGGTTTTAAAAATAAATTTTTAATTATGAAATTAATGTATAATAGACACTCATGCACCTAAGAGGGAAAGCATCAGAGGTTAATTTGAAGATCTCTCTGCATCCCATTCTAATCCCACTAGAGGTAAGATGCTTATGTGTGCTTATGTGTCATTTCACTTCTTTGGAAAACTCTCTCTCTCTTTTTCTTTGATATTGCCTTATTATGTTGCTCATGCTGGCCTCAAATTCCTGTTTCATCTTCTTGAGTAACTGGGATTATAAGCACGTATCATCGTACTTGGCCTTGGTGAACTATCTAGTCAAAATTCTTGTCCACTTTTAAATTATGTTGTGTTTTTTAAAATTGAGCTTTAAGAGTTTTAGATATAACTTGGGTTATTTCTACATTTTGGCCACTGGGACTAATGTTGCAAGGAACATAAGTGTACAAATACAATGTTTTACTTTTAATGAAATTTACATTTTTTTTTTTAGTTTATGCTTCTTGTGACATACTTAGGAGATCTTTGTCAAACTGATCTTCACTAAGATTATCTCAGGAAATCTTTGTCAAACTGCTCTTCATTAAGATTATCTCTTTTACTTCCTTCTGTTAGTTCCATTTATGTCTTTGATCTATTTTGAGTTACATTCTGTATATAGAATGAGGTTAATGGATATATTTTTGCAATTGTTTTAGAACAATTTGTTGAACAGATTATCCTTTCCTTATTTTTTTGGTACTGGGAATTGAACCCAGGACCTTGTACTTGCTAGGGAAGTGCTTAGGTTGCTGAATTATATCCATGGTCCTTTCTTTTCCTTATTTAATGATGCTGGTAACTTTGGTGAAAACAACTAACCCAGATAAGTTGGTCTGTTCCTAGACTATTCTCTTCCACTGATCTATGTGCCTATCTTTACACCAATAACACAATGATTTCATTCATGCAAATCAAAAGCCTATCGAGATTTTGATTGGGACTATATTTAATCTAGAGATAAACATCTTAACAACATTCATTTATGGAATTCATGAACAGTGTATACCTCTCCATTTACTTAGATATTTTTTATTTTCTCTCAGCAGTATTTATCAAGTTTTTTGAAAAACCCAGAAATCATGAACAACACCAACTCAGTTGTCAAGTCAGCTATACATTCCCTTTTTTTGGGCCTTCTGTCAGCTCTTTACTCAAGCAACAACAACCTCATAATTGTCTTTAGGTCCATTATGATAAGAACGCATGGCCAAAATAGCAAAGAAAACTGTCAACAGAATAGGAATTTGAAGGAAGTTGCAAAGGCTAAGGTCTCAGATGCCTTCCAATATGTACCTATATTGATGGGTTAAGGCCCACATTCAGTAAGGCTTGAGATGTGGTAGAGACCCAAAAAGGCAGAGGCTATAAGGTCAAACCCATATAATTTTATAGGCTGAAAATATAATTTATTAGCAAATTAAAATGTAAGCCTTTTTGTTAAAGGAACATGTGAGAGGGCATGGAAAACGAGGAAGTTACTTGGAAAGCATCCTTGTTTGGCAGCATTGATAAATCGTCTTTACACAGTCACCAGAAACTTACTGTTGGACAGGATTGAGCCCGGCTCCAGATCAAATCAAACTTCTCTTTCTGTGAGTTGGAAAACAGTAAAATTACCTCATAAACAGGAAAATATAGGAGAGCACAATCACAATTTAGTCATAAAGACTAAATTCTAGAATTATACTACAACTAACTATTGAGACGTGATCTAGATCCCCAACCCCCCCCCCCAATGAGTTTATGGTGAAAACTTAAATAAACGAGACAAGTAATGTGATTTTAGGGCTCCAGGAAGATCAAAACTCTTGTGCCAAGTTCAAGAAGTTGAGGACTAAGACAAAGAGCTTCTCTGGACTGCTCATATTAGATTCAAACAAAGAGCGGGTATACTGAGGAAAGTGTGGGAAATGAACAGGGCTTTGGGAGTCACTTCAAAGACTTCTCCAAGTAGGAAATTATGCCAATTTAGGAGAACTGTCTTATCTCCATGAAGACATTATGGTAGGAGTGAGATTGCAGGAGTGAGATGCCTGCAGCTGTAGTCTTTATCTGCTTAATTGATGTTTGAGCCACGTGTCCTCTGCTGTGGCCTTATCTTGCTTTTTGAGGTATCTTTGGCATCACAGGCCACAGCCAGGACCAGTGATTCATAGAGGTTTGCTTACTATGAATCAGCTCCCATTGCTAGGCAAGGGGCCTAGGCTGAGGATAGACTCTCAGATAAACATAGGAAGCCAACTAGTTAATTTTAAATCCTGTTCAGAGTTGCTTTGTAGGTCTCTAACAACTAACCAATCCTTTTCTATTTATAAATTGCTCTCATGACAGAGACAGAAAATGTCGGAATGTTTTACTGCTTGCTGTGAGAATTTTATGTGAAGATTAGCTCTAACATTCCAGGGAACCACTAACTCAATCCAAAAGAGAGCTGAGGTCTGTTCAAACAATGAATTGGTATAAAAGAGCTAAGATATGATGAAAATGCAGACTGCTCTGTTACACTCATAAAAGGTAAGGATGTATATGTGTAAGAGGCCCAAAAAAAAAAAAAAAAAGATAGTGATAACCATGTAAAAATCAAAGGGCTTGGCTTGGACAAGAGAGGAACTAGCCAGTAATTCAGTATTTTGAAAATTTTCCTGAAGCCAGGCATGGTGGTTCACCCATATAATTTCAGCATTTGGGAGGTGGAGGCAGGTTCCACAAGTTCAAGGGCAGCCTAAGCTATATAGTGAGTCCAGGTAAGCTTGAACTACATAGCGAGACCCTGTCTCAAAAAAAAAAAAAAAAAAAAAAAAGTTTTCCTATATTAGCAGAAAAACCAGAAAGTAGCATTCCTGCCTAGGCACAGACCTTAATGACTAAGTGACCAGTGACCATTTTCAAGACAGCAATTTCAGGAAGGGAGAAACTAAGACAATGCCACTTGCTAGAAAGAAAGACTAGGAGAAGGCTCTAAATTACCATGAGTATGTGTCATTTACAGACAAGATGGGAAGAAAGCTATGTTAGAGGCCTTGTTTTGAATTCTAACAGCTTGGTTGAAAATACCAAAAAGAAATAAAAAACATCTGCAAATCACTGAGTAACAGAAACTTATACCCTGCTCCCTTGTCAAGAGACTTGACTCAAAGACATTTCTAAACCAGAAAGAGGGAAAACAAAAGCCATAAATATACCATATGGAGCTTCCAATCTTTGGTGCTTAGGGCATAATAAAAACCCTCAAAATTGTAAAATTCAAGTTCTCAAGAGGCCATAAACACAGGGAAAGTAAAGGCAACTGCCTGCTGAGGTTACAGTACTGACCTTCATGCTGTAACACTTCATTTCCCCTCCAAACTACTTACAGGAATGACTGCGTAGACTGTATCTTTTGCTGCAAAATACTGCTGCCAAATCTGTACAAAAAAAGAGGGTGTCTGTGACATGTAGATAATCTTTTCAACCTGTGGTAAGAAATGGTGACAGCTTTCATTGCTAAGAGTAATATACTACTTGATAATGGGGAGGAAAACCCATCGTAATGCTTTTGTAACTAGTACATGATTATAAAAAAGATTTAATGACACACTCACTTATAGGTGATTAAACTGTAATTCTTAATAAATTCTATCAGAGAAATTGATTCTATGATCTTTGAAATCATTCCTCTCAAACTGTGCCTTGTAATAGACAACCTTTCTTTTCCTATCTTTTTTCTTCCCTCTCCATCCCAGCCAAATGTTGATCTTCTTAGAGAACCAGGATATCAGTCATTCAGAGAGGTCAGGAGGAGCTAGATGCAAAACGTAGCTGCAGCCATTTACGAGTTATGACATCTTGTGTTTATCACTGAAATTCCCTAAGTCATAACAATAAAATAACCATAATATCAACCTTACAGGATTGTCATAAATACTAGTTAAATCAATACACTATCACTGTCCTTGACATGGAATAAACACTAAAAACAATGTTAGCTTTATTAATGTCCTATTATAGGCAGCTCGAGACCTCACTTCCAGAAAGTTTTCCATATGAGGAAGAGATAGCACAGTCAGACTCAGCAAACTCTTATCAGTTAGAAGTCCTACTTTGGTCTGGCATCATGAACAGAAAGGGCACAGTTAACTTTCATCATGTAAATACCAAAAGGAAGGGAATAAAATTACAAAATTAGAATATAGTGAAAAATAAAAAATGTTCACAGTTCTACCACTCTAAAAGATACACCTTTTAGATAATATTGTGATACATCTTTTGCTAGTGTTTCTTAGGAATGTTTTTTCTTTTATAGTACATATACATAGATATAGTGCATATGCAATATTGTGTCTTTTGCTTTTTGTCTCTTAGCATATCATATACATGATAAGTGCTCATATTTTTACTTTTAGGATTCTTCACTCCTTTTCATGTTATTGGCTCTGACTGGAAAGCCTTCTTTTCTCCATCTCTGGCCCTACAAAGATTGTCACCCAAAGCTAAGCTTATATACCTCTTCTTCCATGTAGTTTCCCATGATCATTTCTGTCAAGAATTTTCCAATGGATTGCTTTTGTATTATTATTTATTTATTTATTTATTTATTTTTAAGTTTTTTGGAGATAGGGTCTCACCATGTAGACCAGACTGGCCTCAAAACCCCAGCAATTCTTTAGCCTCATCCTCTCAAGTGCTGAAATTACAGGCATGTGCCACCATGCCTGGCTGCTTTTGCATTTATACCTCTCCAAAGATGCCTAGGATATGCTACTTCATAATAAGGCTATTTACATGTGGAGACCTCTCCCTCACTAGCTTGCAAATCTTCTGAAGACAGATTATCTGTGTTGTCACCAATGTCCTGAAAACCAAAAAGTATTCAGAAATGCTGACTAGATGGTAGACCAATGTGATTTAATAAGAAAAAAATGTCTTCTCCATGGTTGTTAACACAAAGATACCAAAAGAGGCACTTAAACCAGGCTAGGAAGGGTGTCAGAGGAAGGGACACTTGGATATATTCTAAAAAATGATTAGAAGTGAGTGGGGTAAAGAGAGGCGAGAAGATGGAACAGGTAGAACAAGATGAGAAAAGAGACACATGCTAAGCAGCGAGTCACATCATTAGCAAAGGCCTAGAAATCAGCAAATGCATCATAGTCAAGATGACATCGGAATGAGCCAGCCATTCCCTTTTAGGCTTGCTCAGTATTGTCAACATTCCCACTAAAACTAACAATAACCCCAACTAACAATAATCAGCGTGTGATCTAGCTAGTCAACACAGAGCACAAAATGTCTGTTACCTCCTTTGGCCTAAGAAAACCACTCTATTAATGGACCCTAATATTGCTTTGCCCTTTTATTTTTCTTTTTTTTGTACTGGAGGTAGAACTCACGATCATGTGTTTGCCAGGCAGGCGCTGTACTGCTGAGTTATAACCCTGGCCCATACTCTTTTAAAAAACCATGTCATTTCTTTGTATTTGAAGGACAGCATATTCCAATTACAGTATTTTGATTCGATTTGTGGTATTAGCAGATAGCTTATGAATCAACACTGAAATTTATGAGACTGGGAGATATTTCCTAATTTAGTTGATTTCTATTACTTAAAAATTATTTCAGTGAACACAAATTTGTATCTAAAATTGCAGGTTAAATGTCACTTCCTTGTTCAGGTCTCTTAAATGACATGCTTGATGTACATGATCCAATGGCACTTTCTCTCAAAGGGACAGCCTGAGATGTCCACAGGACAGCATAAAGCTCTATTAATAGAAGTTAGAACCTTGTGCTGATCTTAGTTGTTTTGTATTTGTCCCTCCACTAGGCAAGAATAACTTTAAGAAGACTTAGTAAGAATATGATAGGTAAGGTGACAGAAACGGGAGTAGGAAAACCTACCTAGAAAGGTAGTACTGCAATCAGGTACAGAGTACTAATGATTTTAAGATGTGGTAAGAAGTATGAAAAAAGAAAGAGCAATATAAGTTGATTAGATAGAAAAGCAAGACCAAGAAAGACAAGTTTTCATTTCTTACTTTTTTTTTTTGAGACGGGGTCTCACTATGCAGTTCAGGCTGGCCTTGAGTCACTTTGTAGCCCAGGCTGGTCTCGAACTCTCAAAGATCCTCCTGCCTCAGCCTCCTGAGTGCTGGGATTACAGGTCTGAGCCACCACGCTCGGCTAAGACAAGTTTTCTTATGCCACTGTTCATGTAATTCATCACTTTTGTCCTTTATTACTACTTTTTATTTCTACTAGACAGAGGTGTCAATAAAGGTATAGTCTTTTCTATTCAGATTTGGCTCACAGAACACATTTTCATGGAGTATGCCAACACATTTTCATTCATTACCTGTTTTATTTCTTCTGCAGTTTTGTCTTTCACCATCTCAAGGTTAAAGATTGAACTAAGAGTCTTGGAAGAAAAAGTACAAAGCAATTAACATCTATAATCAACGACAACAACAAAAATCCTGCATCTTAGCTCTGTGTCTAAGCCTTATGGGAAACAATATCTAAGGACAGTAAGCAGATCTTCAATTAACTATACTACAAGCATAAGAAAACTTTGTACTCAGAGACATGAGGGCACAAATCCACACAGGCTTTCACAGTTTTATTCCTAGAGAGTATCTGTTAGACAATCACATACTTCCCAGTTGTTTCCACTTCACTGGTAAGTGTTGCAGCTCTTTGCAGCTGGTAAAAGGAGAAAGCTTGGTTGTTACTTTTATTTTAACTGTTTTTGTACCAAGGGAAGTTCCTCATTTGTAAATCAAGTGACAAACTGATTTTTATTTGACCTTTTAATCTACTCCCTAAATAAAGGAGAAATTTTACTATACTTCTTTTAAATTTCTTCCAACATCACCAGGACCCATACTTAAGCTAGAGTCACATTAACAACACAGAAATTCATATCTCATCTCTATAGTTAGAAAATGATCTTATACAAAACCACTGAATCACAATAAATGTGTTCAAGTTTGCAACCCCTCATTATACACGTCCCATATGACTTCAAACTTGGATCTCAATAGTTAGAGACTTACTTTGTCTTTAGTGAATCCTTTGCTCACAGGCTGTTTCTCCAAGGCCTCTGTCTGAAATACATGATAAGAGAGGGTTTTAATCTATATTTATAAGAAAAAGAAAACCAAACTAGCTGCAGTACCCAATCTTATTAATTTTATACCTGATGACTCACTTTTCAATCAATCTCCACTCTCCAATCCCCACCCTCCCCTCTTTATAAATTTGAAAAGCTACTGTTTATGCAACAACTCTCCTCTAAGATTCTGAAATGCAGAGATGAGAACTTTTTTTTTGGTAAGTACTACCACCTGGTAGTACTGGTAGTTCATCCTACACCTGCTACTGTGAATATGAGGTATTCCTTTCCAGAATTAGATCTGTTTAGGTTGCCTGTGCTCAGCCCATGACCAGTTGAACACTGAGACAAAGAGGGATGAAAAACAGAAAAATGTATTTTCTAAGACTGCTCTGTATCTCCGACAACACTTTCTGATGGCAGATTTCCTGAGTGGACTTAAATCTTAACAGTCCCTCTATCAAATTAAATGCTATCTCAAAAAAGGCCAAGAACAACTGAAAGTAACTATTTTCTCTCTTGCGTACTATTTCTGATAGAAGCCACAAACTAGAAATCTTACTTTGATGGTAAGTTCCTAATAGTAGGAACGGCTGACATGGTTGATAATTCTGAGTCTTCCATTCAGCCTCTAAATTCAAATCAGGCTTTTAAGCCTGTGCAGTGGTTGAGATCTACAATCTCAGCTACAAGGGAGGGGAAAAAAAACAAAGGTTTTCAGAGATAAATGAGTCTACACGTAGGACACCTACTAATGCTACAAAACACATTGTCACTATGTGATTTAATGAATCCAAATTTTTAATAATGATGTCCACAGGACTGGTGCTAACAAATCAGATAAAACTCTGGTGCAGAAAAATTTTTTGGGCAGGATTTGTTTTTTTTTTAAAATTATATTCTTATACAATGTTTTCTTATTATTTACTATTACAGCATCCCAAGATAGCTATTCCTTCATATTCAAGCCATCTAAAAAGGAGAGAAATGATTTCATCTTCATACTATTCATCCTTAGGTGTACCGTGAAAACAAAACTTCATTTTAACAGCTACTTTCACCATTAAATCACCAAGCTTCGCATGTGTTTTTTTCCCATATTGTTCTTCAAATACATTTTTTGTTTCTATTTTTCACTTACAAAAAACCCCCGAAGTACAAGCCTATTATAGTTTATCAAATCTAAGATATCACCGATCTTAAGACTCACCATTATTTTACGTATCAGAAAATATTTTACGTATCAAAAAATAATTAGCAGTAACATAACACTATGATATCACATCAATTTTGAGTCAGTTTTAATGATGCCAAAGTGTGAAAAAAAATCTTGGGCCTTAAAATTGATTAAATAAGATAATTAAACCAAATGCCAAAGGTCTCAAAGCACTAAACAAAAAATTTAAATGACTGCTTTACCTTCTCTCCTATACTCTAGAAATTTGTGGGGACAATTTTTTTGTTGTTACAATAACCGACTGGTGATATCTGTGTTTACCGAACGGCAGGAGCACTAAACATGCTACAACTTTATAATTGAGTCCACATAAATGACAATCTCTGAGTTCAGCCAGACATCCTTGTAAGTGAAACTATTTTGGAATTACCTAGCCCATAATTAAAAAAAAATACACAGCTTTATCAGACATTGACTTTCCCAGAAATATAATCACTGTATAACTGAAAGAATACTGTACAATGTAGCATCTTGGGACACTCATAAGCCTACTTCTTAAGCTTTTGGGGTTTTTATAATTATCACTACATTTCTATACCAGTTAGTATTTTCTACTTATGTGCTCATAGTTATTTCACAAATAAGTGAAACATCTAAGAGTTCAGATATCATAAATTTTATTTAAAAATACTTCAATTATGGCTGATTTTTCCATCAAAATTATGTGTTTAGGTAGGTTATATAATCCACCTAACTATATTATTTTATTTCAGGTTGGAGAGGGAGAATTAAATATAATTTATTATAAAAAGAGAATATTGAGTCCTTTGTAGTACGGAACTGATGATTCAAAGTAAAGAGAAGGCTTTGAGAATTAAATGTATGTGCTAGCCAAAACCCATCCTCTGTCTACCTAGATAAGCATGATAGTAAATGAATATTTACCTAAGAGTTGCCATAATGTAAACTGCTTATTCTATATCTTATCATCATAAAGCTGAAATTTTTTTTTTTGGTACCAGGAATCTAACCCAGGGCCTTGAGCTTGCCAGACAGGTGCTGTGCTGCTGAGCTATATCCCTGGTCCCATAAAGTTGAATTTTTAAGTTTGCTTAAAAAAGGGTCAAAGAAAAAAAATGGGTCAAAAACTTTCCTATATAAAATTGAAAATTTATAATACAGATATATTTCCAAGACCTATCTGCTGTAACTCTGCTGCTATAAATGTTTACAACAGTTAAAATATTTGTAGTAGGGAGTAGTTGGTTTACCATAGGAGGTTGAATTTGCTCTCCAATTTTATGATATTAGTCCACTAACTATTAGTCTTGTACTAATTGACCCAACTCGTTATTAAGACTGAATATAGGCTCTTAAAATTTAGGATACCTAAGGCAAAAAAGTTATTTCCCAAGAAAAACAAACATCTCTAATTTGACTTTCAAATACAGTCTACAATCCTAATTTCCCTCTGCAACTACCTTACTTCAGGTTTTCTTATGCCCAGACTTGGACTCCTGTGTTTTTTTTCTGGTACCAGTCTCTCCTACTCCAATTTGTTCTGTGCCCCAGTCTAGATTAGCATTTTTCAAATCTTCAGTTGTAAAATCAATTTAATGGACTGCCATCAGAGATTTTTAAAAGATGAAAAGGTATAAAAAAATAAGCATGTACTACATGTCATAAAAGTAACTATTGTTTCATAAAAATTTTTGTTATAATCATGCCATATGTACTAAACTGTAACATAAAATGCATTTCTTATTATAGGCCCCGATCAAACAATGTTACTAATACTGTGTTAATTTTTCCACATGCTTTTCTCTAGCTTTGACTCTTGTTTAAGGATAAAAATGGCTAATACATATTAAGTACTTACTATGTGCATATTAAGTACTTATTATGTGCTAGGACTACACTAAAAAAGTGTTGCATGATTTTATTTACTCCCCTACACAACTCTATGAAATAGGTACTGTTATTATTCTTGTTTCAAAGAGAAGCACACTGACACTTGGAGAAGTTATATAATTTGCTAGCAAATGGAAGAGCTAGTAGGTAGAAGACCTAAGATTCGGTTCCTGGCATCTGTCTGCATAATCCATACTCTTGGTAGAACAGTTATCCTGCCTCTACTCACTTGGGCTTCTATCCAAATGAGTATGCCGTGGCCATTTGGATAGTGCAGCTCTTGGTAGGCTCTGGGGATATAGAAATTGGACAAAGTACCTCAGTCTCTCCAGGAACTCCCTTTGCTTTTAAAGTTTTTCCTCTATTTAAGCTAATTGCTTATCATAGAGTGGGCATAGAGGATGGAAGGGCAGTGGTTGGTTGTTAGCAAACTAGGATTCTAGTTTGTTTTTGTGTGTGGTTTTGGGGATCAAACCCACGGCTTTGTACATGCAAAGCAAGAACTCTATCACTGAGCCACATCCCCAGCCCTGCCAACAGTTTTTGTAAATGAAGTTTACTGTAATGCAACCACACCTATTCATTTATTGTCTATGTGGCTTTTGTACTATAATAGCAGAGCTGGGTAGTTATAATGGAGATCATATGATTTACAAAGCTCAAGATATTTACTGCTTGGTTCTTTTACAAAAAGTTTGATGATCTTTGTTCTATATCAAAGCCCTACTCTCTCTTTGCTGTTTTAAATTCCCCAGACTCTTCCTAGCATAGGTCAGATTCAATTTCTCCTGAGAAATTTTTCCTGACTCCCATAGCCCCACATATGCCTTGCCTTGGCTTCTAGATTGCCAGTTTAGCAGGATTAAATACACTTTTCTTCCTTCTCAGTCTCTGCCATAACCACAGTACCTTGCCTAGAAAAAACAGGATATACATTTACAGACGGAGACTGAATACAATAGAGAGAAGCTCTGCTCAGATCACACAAGTTGATCCATTATCAAGCCCACATTAAGGATAGAGATGGAAGAAATGGGGAGGAGTGTTGGTAAGCCAATGACACAAAAAGGGGCAGGCCTTACCTTCTGCTCCACACATTTGATGAAATCACCTTGCCTAGAGTACCCTACTGGCTGCTTCTGAATCTCACTGCGCTTCTCCAGGCGTGACTCAAAGGCAGCTGGGTCAGACCTGATAAAAGTAAAGCAAACGTAAACCATCTGGGCTGTTTTATTTTTTTGGAGGAGATTTTTAGATTTTGAATTAATAAAGCAGTATGTTCTACCTTTACCGAAAAAGGACACAGGGATTCAAAAAGGCTGAAAGATTTGTCTTCAGTTAATAAGGACTAGGCACAAAACAGTGTGTGGGGGGGTCTAGTTATTTAACTGCTATTAATCCTCAAGGGGTCAGTGTAAAATTTTTTTCTCCTGCAAGAGATACTGAAGTGCAACACAGGGCTTTTTCCTTCAGGTACTTTTAGCCTGGGTAATTAGAATCCTCAGGTTGGAAAAAGTACTCAAAGGTCATCTTGCTACCTCCACAGACAGGAATCCTAGAGGATCTCTACTAGGTGTCAAGCTTTTAGTTGAATATACTCAGTCCTTTGACAACTCTTTTACCCCTCAGGTTAAGCATTTATTTTATCATAGGCTTGAAGGCATCTATTTCGCATAAAATTTAGCACCTGAGTGTCTCTCCCTGACCTATCCTCTGAAAAACTGCAGATGAAACATCAGAACTTGTTTTTTGTGTTAAAATAGGGCTAGTTTTCAAACTTCAGACTTGGAGATGCCATCCTTGTTAACGGCTGTTTTTTTTTTTTTTTATCGGTATTGGGGATCAAACTCAGGACCGCCTGCTTGCAAGGCAGGTGCTTATGCCGCTGAGCTAAATCCCCAGTCCCCAAACGGCTGGTTTTTAAACCTTGGGCTGTCATTTTTGTTAAAAATTCTTCACACCAGGCAGTCACACACACCTGCAATCTCAGCACTTGGGAGGTTGAGGCAATAAGACTGTTTGAGGCCAGCTTGGTGTATAGTGAGACTCTGCTTCAAAAACCAAAAGAATTCTTTGGGGGTGTGTAGATAGTTGGCTTTGTATACTTTAGTGATGACATCATCCACAGGCTCTAGTTTCTTGGTTGTGAGAGCCACAATGTCATCAGGGAGGTTGGTAGGATCCAGGGACATCTTGGCTGTCTGGCAGACCCTCTCCATTAAGACATTTTAGGGAGCTCCCCTTCCATAAAATTCCTTTTTGGAGGTAACATCAAATGTCACTTTTCACTGTCATGTAAATGGGTTGATTTTTTTTCCCTCTAGAAGGATTGGGTTAGTCCTGACAGTGGCCCAGACATATCTGAGCCTACCATGGTAACTGTAATGGGGTAAGAGGTATTGTTGCAGGCAGAGCTCTTGATGGGCTCTGGGGATACAGAACAGAATAAGATAGAGTCCCTACTTCAAGGAATTTGCTATCAATTGGAGAGATAGTCATGTTAATTACTATATGAGTATGCTACAGGCACTATGAAAATTTGTCCAAACATCCGTAAATGTATGGTAGTTTCATGTTGCTGGACTTTTAACTATGTTGCTGTTCCCCTTGTCCAGAACATCCTACCCATTTCCTCCAACTTTTTTGTTTTTGGACATAGTACTCAAAGGAAATTGTGGTAAGCGATAAGGCTGGAGAGACTGGAAGCAACTAAGGTGTGAGAATTTTGCGTGGAACCCTATGGAATTTGGGTGTTGTCCAGAAGTCAATGGTGATTTGGAAAGTTCACACTTCAACAAATAACAGTATGTGTAAATGTTAATAGAGAAGGAGAACAAAATCATTATTTTTTTTTTCTTGGTCTTTTTTTGTTTTTATTGGTACCAGGGATCCAACTCACGACTGCCTGCTTGCAAGGCAGGCTCTTACACCACTGAGCTAAACCCCCAGCCCCAAAATCATTATTTCTTCATGAGGTAGAATGAATGGGAGCTCGTGGAAATTTTTGTGCGTAAAAAGGATCAAAAAGAAAGGGTTAGAGTGGTAGGCCAAAAAAGATTTAAAAATGACAAATAAGTTGAGAATATCTAAATCCTGTTAAAAGGAGTAAAAAACTACTCATTCGTGTATTTCATCATTGCTTCAAAAAGTGAGAACCCTTACAGTAGCAGTGAGATGGACTGGGGTAGAGGGTCCAAGACTGAAAGTGAGGGACATTAGAGGATGATAGTAGTAGTCCAGGTAAATTAAGGCAGTAAAATTAGAGATAAGACATAGTACAGAGGATTTACAGAACTAGATTTCTGGTTTCCTTTCATAACAGAACTGCCTTTTTTACCCTGCCAAATTCTCTCCTCAGCTCCCTTTTCACTTCTAATCTTTTAGCTCCTTCCAATGGAACTTTTCAGACCCCCAAGTCCCACCACTACACCCTCTTCAAAACTGTTTTAATCTCTAGGTCTTTCCCTATGGAAGCTGAAGAGTAGTGTTACAAACTCTGAGCTGAGTTAGATAACTTTTGTGGGGTGTGATTTTTGGCAAGCCTGTTCCACTCTCTCATCCTTAGTCTCCTTATTTTAGCGAGATGTTTTGACTGATGGTCCAATGGTGACAGTCTCTGCGGCAGTTCTCTCATCAATCTCCTTTTTTGCATCCAGTTCTCTAAATTATGAGCCCGGAAACTCAAACTCTAGACCACATCTCGGCTTACTGAATACGTGACCTTAAGCAAATCAAGACCTTTCTCTGGAAGACTTCATTTTTCATTTCTATGAGGACAGGTGTCCCTGCCACACAGGGCTGTCAAAAAGTCTACCTTAGCATTTTGAGAACTAAACACAAAGACAACTGTGGAGAGACTAACCAGCTGCGTGATCTTGGAAAAGTAGCCGATCCTGAACCTCTACACACCATCAGCACACGGGGACAGCCCTCCACGCAGGGCTGTCCGGAGGCCCAGCCTAGCAGGGGACCGCCAGCCCTTCCCCCTCCCCGCCAGCCGGCTGGGGCCGCACCTGCGCAGTTGCTGGATCTTGTCCCGGTAGCGATGGTAGAAGGGGTTGGCCTCCAGCTCGGCCCCAACCCCGCAGCCGTCTGCGCCCCTCGAGGTCTGACCCGAGCCGCGGCGCACGGGGAACACGCGCAGCTGTGCGGGTGAAACAAATCCCAGGCCCAAAGTCCGACTGCGCACCGTGCAAAGGCCTCGATAGAGGCCGGCCACTTGCAGGACAGCCGGGCCCGCGCCACCTGCAGCCGCCATGTCCGCCCCCACCTCCTCCAGCTCCTCCACTTCTTCCTCAGGCGAGTCGGCCCCGGGCCCTCGTGCCTGCTCCATCGGCCTCCGGGTCCGCGGCGCTAGCGACTCGCCACGGAGGTTCCGCACGCCCAAAGTTCCGGGCGCAGGAGAGGGTCTAGGCAGAGCAGGGGCAGGGGCAGGGGGACGGGGGCGGGAGCGGAGCGTGAGCTCCAGCAGTCCGGCGTGGGAGATGGGCCGCTTCCTCCCCGGAGCCCGCAGGGATCGCGTCCTTCCCCCGGGACCAGCAGCCTCTGCGCGCCAAGTGTCCTCTGGAAAGCCAGGTCGGTCTTTCGGGTCCTCCCGGAGCCTGCACCCTTCTAAATTCGTTTGGCACCAGCTAAAGCGGTCCCTCCTTCCGCGTTCAATGCTGGTTCACTATCACCACCACCGCAGCATCTCTTTACTGAGGTTGCTGTGCAGAACACTATCCGCTTCATAACTTATGAAGCGGGCATCATCTCATTTTACCAATGAGAATGATTTGTCTAAGATCTGACCGAGTTGAACGCCTTTCAAGATGCCAGGTGCTTGCAGGACTCTGTTTCTTCTCTGGATTTCTTGACACCTAATTGGAGATCGAGTCAAACTTTTTCTCCACCAAAGAGACACGAGGAATGGTCCTTGACATGTCTTTTTTCAGTAAATTTGTTATTATTTTTATCCATGGAATGGTCTCTTCTTCTTAACCCAAATATCACCATCTTCTTCATTTCTTGAACCAATGTATCTGAACTCATGAGTTCAGGGACAGTAACCTCACCCTTTTTGTGGCTCACTGCTGTTAGCATGAGTGGACCCTCTGTAAGGGTAGCCATTAATCTGCCTTGCATAGAAATCCTTGTCTGGGTCTTACCTGAGCCAGCAAGTGAGCTTCCCACCCTTTTTAGTCCAACTTGCTTTTATGCAGGTGAATCCTGCCCTATTTTAGGAACACTATAGGGGAAGATCACAAGTGTGTTCTCCTGTGTCTGGCTCAGGATTCTTGCACTTGCTGTTTCCTCTGCTTAGATTTGTTCATCTCGGGCTCAGTCCACACATCAGCATCTTAAAAGAATTTTTCAAGATGAACCGCTCCATTCTTTCATAGTCTATTTTTTACTCCATTATGTCTTTATTTTACCCTATTATCTTTATGGTAAGTTATCACTATAAAAATTCTTAGATCCTTTTTTACTTTTAACTCACAGAGGTTATATTCTAGTAGAGTGAGAGATAAGCAGGAAAACAAAGCAGGCCAAGAGAGAGATGTAAGTAAGGGGAGGCTCAAGCAGAGACCTGAAGGAAATGAAGGAATGATCTGTATGGATATGGGGAGCGGAGACAGCAAATGCCAAGGCTCTAGTGCAGAAACATGCTTACCCTGTTTAGGGAATAATGAAGAGATTATTATATCTGGAGGAGTGAGAGGGAAGCCGTTAGAAGTAAGACTAAGTTGGTATGAGGAGGTTGGCTAGATTGCTCAGGACTTTGGAAGCCTTAGTTAAGGACTGCGATTTCTGATCTGTGTGAGATTAGAAATCACTGTAGGTCTTGAGCAGGAGAGTAAGATGTTCTACCTTTAAAAGGATCATCCTTTCTGCTGGTGGAATTTAAGGTATGTAGAGCAAGGATGGAGACTCTCCCAAGGTATGTAATTTGTAAAGACAAATTGTTTATCTAGGACCTTTTCTTTTCTTGCCTTAAAAACTATTTTTTTCTTCTAAAATTTGAAAGGACAAATATATTTAGCAGTGTAACAGAATCTATATTATCAATAACTATTTTAGCCTCTTATCACTACCTAAATTTACATACTTTACATAAGCACTTTCAATGTCGAAACCAATAAAGTCCTCTGGGTTTTAAAAATTAAGTGTATTGGTACAATTTAGATAATGATCACACTGATTATAAGGAATTTTTACCTGTACACAATGTATCTTGGTTTTTCTTTTTTCTTTGGTTCCTTCCTATTGAACAGGACTTTTTTGGTTTTAGCATTGAAGACTCCATGTCCTGAAAGCACTCTCAAATCCTGGCCAAACAAGATGATTGATTATTTGTACTGGGAGGTCACTGATCCAAGAGACTAAAGTTATAAGGATGGACAAGTGGTCAGATTTTGGGCATATTTTAGTGCTTTTGTTTTGTTTTGTTTCTGATACCAGGAATCAAACTCAGGAGCTTGCGCTTAACAGGCAGGTGCTATGCCACTAAGCTATATCCCTGGCCTCTAATATTAAAGTTTCAAAATTTTGCTGAAGTCTGAATATGATAGAATGAAAGGAGTCAAGGATGACTAGCAGAATTTTGGCCTGAGCACCTGGAAGGACAGTCACTATTCAGAGAGCAGCAACAGTGCAGGTAGACTAGATTTTGAGGAAGGATGATAGAAGTTTGGTTTTGGACATGTTTGTGAAAATAGACTGGCAAGGAAGGATGTCAGCCAGGATGTTGGGTAAATCAGACTGTGAAATGTATTCCAGTTGGAGATACAGCATGATTCTTAAGCTCATAAGATCACTGAGGAGTCAATGTAGATAGAATGATAAGGACTGAGCCTTGGGACTTACCAATATTTAGATATCAGGGAAAAGCAGAGGAACCAGTAAAGAAGACTGAAAAGCAGGGGTCAGTGATGTAGGAGAACAGAGGGAAGTGGACCCCAGGAAAAAACTCTGCTAAATAGTGTTTCAAGTTACCCACTAGGGAACTATAAAGACCAGAGTAGTTAAATGGTGCCAAGAAGCTGAACTAAACGTGTGGGGAGACAATTCTGTGGTGGACCAGTTTCTGACAGAAGGAATGGACACACACCATGCCCACAAAATGCCACTGGATGGAGGAACTTCCATTAACTCAGGACCCCTTCACAAACACCACCCCTGGAATGCTTAGTGCTCAGAACCTGGTTACTTCTTTAGAGAACAATGGGTCCTGAGCCTTCTGAAAACTCCCATTGGTGGAGAGATGAGTGAGTTCCCAATTCCAACAGCCATAGACCAGGAACCAAGGATAAACATACATGGATTCCCAGCAGGACCTGAGCATCTTTGGCAGTAAGTGCCCATCTAATTCCCGCCTGTTGCCTTGTGCCTTTGGGCATGAGGACAGATACTCAGGGAAGGTCCTCTGCATTGTTAAGGTGGTAGCTACCTACTTGGAATGCTAAACAGTTAAGAGATAGTCTGCTGTCAGGAGGCTGAGGGTCTCTTGAAGGTAGAGACTGTCCTCTGCCCAGCTCCAGGAGACATACTAGTGAACTGAACTTCTCTGCCCTTACTGAGGCTTCCCAGTGCTATGGATTGGACAGGTTCTAGGTCTGGCTAAACCTAGGCAGTTCATGCTCCCTCTAGACTTGGGCTTATCTATAAAGGGCTACAGTGGCCTCTGAAGCTCCTTGGAGATCCAGTTTTGACTGATGGAAAGAATGTTGTGGCAAGTCTATGAGGAAGGAAAGAAGGAAGGAAGGAAGGAAAGAAGGAAGAAAGGAAGGGAGAGAGAGAGGAAGGGAGGGAACAAGGGAGGGAGAGAGTAGTTCAGTGGAAGGAGTGATCAACAAATGGGTCAAGGAGGACTGAGCAACAGCTCAGACTCTAAGCCAGAGTTGTCAGGCAGCCTGCTTTTTTCTTTCTCACTGCCTTAGTGTGGGTGTCACTGTACTTTGGATTCCTGGGGCTGTGTTCTTTGGTCACGGGCAGCTGCATTATCTTTCTGCACTGGAAGAAGAACATGTGGCGGGAAGCACGTGCCCAGCAGTGGGTTGAGGTGATGAGAGCCGCCAGGTTCACCTACAGCCCGCTGTTATACTGGATCAACAAGCGACGACACTATGGCATGAGTGTTGCCATCAACACGGGCCCTCTCCCTGCTGTTGCCAAGCCTGAGACTGAAGTCCAGAATCCAGATTCTTCATGCAAACTGGATATCCCCGAAAGCAAGAACTACCCTGTCCAACATGACAGCCCCAAGATTGAGGTCCCTGATCCTCTGCAGCCCACTCTGGCGGCACACCAGCAGCCCGTATCTTCTTTCGTGCTGCAGCCCCAGACCAACTCCCCACTTCCATTTCTCATCTTTAAAGAGGCACCTTGTGCACCAACCCTCTGTAGCCTACCTCCCATCCTGAGCCACTCTGTCTCCTACCCTTTGGCCAAGCATCCTGAGAGGAATGTTCACTTCCATTCCCTTCCTACACTGGCCCACGGGGCAAAGAGCTTCAGTGCCAGACCTTTTGCTGCAGAAGTGTAGCCTCCTCTCACTGGGAGGGGAAGCTATCAGGGACAGAATAGAAAAATGGAGCTAACTTCAAGGAGGTGGTGTTGATACAGAGGCCAGAGCCCATCTGGATGTCATTTTGAAAGATTAAAAAAAAAAAAAAAGCCCAAGGTTCTCTTGTGTCTCATTTGCTGTTAGGGCATTGTATTTCCTCTATTTGGCACAGGGAGTAGGGCACTTTGCAAACTAAGTTGCAAGGTCTTATCAGATACAAAGGATGGCTGTGCAGAAACACATTCAACTGGTACTTATAGGACTCCCTATCCCTCCATTCAACATTTAAGGCCAAACAGGTGGGCTAAGCCCTAGCCTAGGTCCCCAAAGACACTGCTGTTCTATAGCACACAGCTATGAAGGTCCACAGTGGCTGTCAATGGCCAAACAAGTCCTGTAATGAGACCTTTAAGCCACAGCACACTAAGGGCTTGAATGGCTGTTATCTATAAGGATTTGTAGGTAGTTGTCTCTGTACATTATTTTTAAGATGCACAAGAATACTGTCACATAGCTATCATAAGCCGCCTCTTACAGATGAGACAGGTTCCAAGGCTGTGTGCTATATAATTTTTATGTTGTAGAGCCAGCTCTCCAATTTGCATCTGTCTGGCATCAAAAGTCCTGATCTCTTCACTGTATCCCATGGTGTTTCTTCCCCCCCCCCTTTTTTTTTTGGTAGGTGCTTGTGCTGCTGAGCTAAATCCCCAGCCCCACTTCCCTAATCTTATGTCATATGAATGCACTTGGTAAGTGCTGTAGTGTGTGTAGGTGTCAGCAACTTGGTCCAGATTGGCTTTGAGGGAGTACAATTATGTGCAGAAATATATCCATTGTTTCCTTTTCTTGGATTCCATGGCCTCCTTGTAAGTTAAGATCTGCTATAAAGGACTATGAATAATCTTTGTACTTGCTGAAAAAAGTCCTAGAGAGACAAAAATAATATTATTTTCCCCCTATTTAAAGATAAGACACTCAGGGGGCTAAGGCAGGAGGATCATTATGAATTTGAGACCAGCCTGGGCTACAAAGTGATCTCAAGGCCAGCCTAAACTGTATAGCACGCCCTGTCTCAACAAGACAAAAAAATTTGGCTGTCACAAAATATACATTTCTCCCTTTTGCTTTGGGAATCAGCAAATCCTCTCTTCATACTCTAAATTCACTCTCTAAACGCCACCAAAATTACTTATACATTACCAAAATAATTTCACTAAAACAAAGTAGGTTTACGTTTCTTAATATGAGAAAACAACATGGTAGACTTCCCTGAGAAGGGCCCCCCAAAGTGTATGTGTATTCCCAGAACCTACTAAACAGAGTTTTTATTTTTTGATGTATATGGAAAAGCCCCAGTCCTGTCATATGGCCCCTCTCTAGCAATCCATTTAAAGACCTTTTCTTGCAAACCTGCTGTTATATTGAACCTCTAACTACAAAACAGGCTTAACTGGAGATCACACTCCTCTCTCAACTACTCATTTCCCACTCTGTAGATATATGAAGACTAAGCCACGTAGCCTTTACTTCTTCAGGCCAAATATTGCATTTTTTGGTTTTGTTTTTAATTTTTGAGACAGCGTTTCACCATTGTAGTTAGGAGGCTGGCCTCAAAATTGCAGAGATCCTCCTGTGTCAGCCTCCCGATTGCTGGGATTACAGGTGTTCACCACCATACCTGGTGGCAAATATTGCGATTTTTAAAAGCAGATTCTTGAACATTACTTTGTGCCCACATCTGTTACTTTCAAAAGGAAAAGAAAAATTAGTGAACAAAGCAAGTTTTCTCCCTTAATAATCAGGGGAATGGGGAAGGCTTTATTCGGACACAGTGAGAGAAAAAAATATATTTATTTAGATAAATTAAAATGGCTGTGTTACTAATATAAAATAAGCAAAGCTTAAATCAAGTCACGGAAACCTTGAATTCACTCTGTAAACAAAACTGAAATTGCTTATACATTACCAAAATAACTTCACTAAAACGAAGTAGATTTACATTTCTTAATATGAGAAAACAACAAGGTAGGTTAGGTTCTTATAACAAATATACGCTCTATAGAGTCTCAGGAATACCCAAAGGTGTTCTGGTTTGAATATGAAAGAAGGTACCACACATCCGGCTGGTGTTGACAAGCAAGCCAATGAGGTGTATAGCAAACAAAAGCTGTCACTAGAAACAACTCAACAGGCTATTAAGAGTATGAGCCCATCACAGTCAAAATCCTCTACTGTGACCAGCAGGACCAGCAAGGGGGGCTGAAGGGCTTATGTCCAGCAACTGCAAAGAAAGAAAACTGCAAGGGAAGGGAAAAGAGCCCCCAACAGGGGAAGGGTGTCCACTCCTCTGATTTGCTGGCCTTCAGACAACACACAGTTATCTTGAAGCGAAGTACTCTTCCTTTGGTTCTTCTTTTTTTTTTTTGGTCTTTTTCCTTTTTATCGGTACCGGGGATCAAACTCACGACTGCCTGCTTGCAAGGCAGGCGCTTGTGCCGCTGAGCTAAATCCCCAGCCCCCGGTTCTTCTCTTTCTACACTGCTGTTTGCCTCTTTTGACTTATGGGGAGCCTCTAAGTAAACAGTATGCTAGACAGTACAAGCCTACAAAACAAAAAGATCAAGCAGTGCTTCAGGAAACCAGAGCAGTAGGACCTGCCAGACTGAAAGGGTAAAAGCATTCACCAAAGCCAGACTCAGCACCACTACTTAATCTTTGTCATACAGCTGAGATGTGACAGGTGAAGCCTGACTACAGCTGACAAGCCACAGGCTAAGTTAGAACAACATAAGAATGAAAATCCCAAATTTAACACTGAGTGTGGGCTTCTGAGGCTTTTGAATCAGTTGTGTCTACTCAACTTTGAACAAAGGAGATCTATATACCTACCTCTGTCCAGGAGCTATGGTCGTTTCTTAGGCAGGATGATTAGGGGGATCACAGGCCTGAGTGCAGCATGGATGCCTATGGAAGACTTGATAGGAATGGGAATGGCATTACACTGGCTCTGGGGTGATGCTAGGAGACAGGCTTGAGGTGGGACTTTAGCAGAGAAACTAAAAACCAAAAACCAAAAGGCCCCAGAAAACGTCCATAAATAGCTATTTGATATAAAAGTACATACCACAAAGAGTTAAAGTGTCCTGAAAGTGTCTGCCTTGAATAAGAACTTGAAACTAAAAAGGACAAGCTACATTACCCTCAAGTATATTTCATATAAATCAGTTTTCAAAAAAATACCTTCCAGGTACAGACATACTTTATGGTACAATATATACAAATATAGCAGTGTAAGTCAATTTATTGCTAGAATTTTATTGGTTGTTACAAAAATCTATAAGGGTGTATATATTAAAAAAGAAAGGAGGACATGGAAGCAGCCAAAAGAGTAAGAGTTATCTTCAAGTTACCTAAAGTGCCAGGCTAATGTTAAACTATAATTTTTCCAAGAAAGTAAAATAGATGAGCAAGGGAAACACTACAGAAAAAATTAAAAAGACAAACATAAGCTATAATGAGATAAGCAGACACATATATGGGAAAACCTGTCTTGCTTCAACTAAATTTTAAGTTTCTAGAAAAAATTAAGGTTATACAAGGATATTCATCAAATTGAATAAAATGTAAAGAAAAAAAGGCATTTTTTTGGAGATGGGGTTTTACTATGTTAAAAAAAAAAAAAAGGTATTTCAATGTTTAAGGGACCTGGACTGCACCCATGGATAACAGAGCAACCTGGACAAAATTAAACGGAAATGGTTTCTACTACAGAAGTCTGTGCCATGAGAGCTTCTCTAGTTTTTCCCTGACTTATCTACTTCAAAGTTCAGTTCTATAAAGTTTTCCTTTTGTGTTGTTCAGATTGCTTCTTGAAACAACACAGAAAGTCTCAACATAAAGTGACATGGAGGTGTTACTCCTCCCAGTTTAGGGGCTTTTTGTGTAAGGTCTACACAAATATTTAAAGGGAAAAATATTGCACTTGCTTGTGTAAGATTTGAAAAAAAACTGTTACCATCATGTGAAGGTTCTTGCTCCAAGCCTGTGTGTCACAGACCTGAAAATTGTAAGGAAACTTGAATATGACTTCACATTTCATTTTATGTTTTTGGTGTTAGTCATTCCACCAAGAAATATATTTAATTCTTTTATAAAATCAGGGTCAAAATCAGAAGTACAACTTTCTTCTAATGCTTTGGGTGATTATCCAAAGTGACCAGGGACTTGAGCCCTGCCATTCAGAAGAGAGATAGCTCTGCAGGATGAAGGCAGCTTCTACTTTTTTGTTGGTTTTTATAAACAGGGTCTCACTATTTAGTCCAGATTGGTTTACTATGGTAATCCTGCTTCAGCCTCCTGAGTGCTGGGATGACAGGAGTGTGCCACCACACCTGGCCCCAGCTGTAGCTTTAAGGTAGACGTGAGTAGCACGGTGGGTAGAAGACAATTTAGCTTGCTTAGGGGTAGGGAGGGAATGTAGCTCCCCACTGGATAACTTTTTATGTTCATAAACCTTGAAGAAGAAAATCAGAGAAGTTCCCAACAACTCTCCTGAGGGTGGGTGGGCACTGTCCCCACAACTCCCAGGTCTTACCCATACACTAAACCCCAAGCCCAGGGAGGCCCGAAGCATTTGAGGGCTGCTGTGAGGAAATGTGAGCACAATTTCAGTGGCTACCCAGATTAAATTAGTGGTTTTTAATAACAAGTCACTGTTCACATCCTATTCAAAATCATTTTTCCTACTTTCCATATAATATGAACAATCTTTCATTTATTTTAAATATTTACAAACAGAAAAGGCTTATCTTTTAAAGAAAAGACATTTTCTGAATCTGTATAAAGTGCAGCTAATTTTAAGGCAAATTCAGATGAAATATAAAAGGTGGCTTATTATATATATATATATTTCAGTTTTAAAAGATAAGGTCTGTTTCCCTCAAAGAAGAGAGAGAAAAAGGGGGTTTTTTCCCTAGCAATTTTAAAATGTAAGATCTTACTAGCTTCAGGAAATCATAAATTTCTGAACATTATAAGTAAAATGTTTTTCTTTTTTTTTTTAAAAAAATAACTTTTTTATAGCTTTTTTTAACAAGTTAAAAGGTGACCATGTGTCTGCAACAGTAGTTTGGAGGACTGGAGAGCTGATGGGTAAGTAAAAGTTGTTGTTAGGTAAGTAGATTTTAGGTTGTAGAGAGTATATATCTATTTCTAAAATATGCCTGATACATTTAGATACCTAAAGCTACTCTTAGCTCTAGGAACGAGTATCTTCCATCTCCATTGGAATCAAATGCTCTCAAATTCTCTGGTTCTGGTACAGCAGAACCTAGGGAGTTCCAGATTTCCTGGTAGGTCAGCTTCCCATCCACATCCTGGCCAGTCTTGTGGAATAAATCTTGAAGATCTGTCAAAAAGGAATCACAAAAGATGTATATGTCCATATATACAGCTAAATTTAGTTAAAAGTAGCCTCTAGGGAATTTAAAGAACTAGAAGAAAAGCTGCTTTGCAGATTTTGCTTACAAAGGCAACATTGAGGATCTTACTAAATTAGAAAGATTGATTTTTGGTCCTTTAAGAATGAGAAGAATACTGTATCACATTATCCCTGGCAAATAGAATAAGTGCCAGACAATCATGGAAGAAATTAATGGATTGATTTTCTGTGTCTAGGGCCTTCCACTAAATTTTTCCAGATTTTATTCAATGCTGCAGGGGTGGAAGGAATGCACAGACTTATTTGTAAGAGCTAGCCTATAAGAGTGACTATGGCATATTGTGAGACAGCTTATTGGATGGCTGAGTAGAAACCGGAGGAGCTGGGTGTGGTGGCACACACCTATAATCCTAGCCCTGGGGAGGCTGAGGCAGGAGGATCACTATGAGTTCAAGGCCAGCCTGAATTGCATAGGGAAACCCTGTCTCAAAAGAAAAAAAAAAAAAAAGAAACAAACAAACAAACAGGAGGAATGGCTTGGAAGTCCATAAAGCACTAATGATTCCTAAGACTCATGGTTTTCTGACTTTTAATAGCAAAACCAAAGTTCAAAAAGGAAAGTTGCTGAAGGTCACATAACTCTTACATAAGTAGATATACACTAGAGTACAAATTTTCTAATTTAACCTCCTCTGGTCCTCTTTCTAGTACGTGACATTGTCACTCTGAATCCAGAAATTAAGCAGACCAAAGAGCAGTGATTCAAGTCTAAGATAAGATACCATTTCATCTTCAAAAAATACTGCTGAGGATATAGACAAAGTGTATTGATTCTTCTACTGGTGATGAGAATGTAAATGGGGTAGCTACTTTTGGCAGATACCTTGGCAGTGCCTCAAAAAGTTAAGAGATATGATATAACCCAACAATTTTATTGCTATGTATATACACAAAGGAAATGAAAACATAAAAACCAGAACACTAATATTCACAGAAAGCATCGCTCCTGATAGCCTCAAACTGGAAACAACTCAAATATTCAACTGAGAAATGGATGAATAAAATGTGGTATGTCGAAGCAATGGAATATTATTCACCCACTGAATAGGTCATGAAAACATTATGCCAAAAGAAGCATACTCAAGTTCACATACTGTATGATTTATTTATATGAAACATCCCCAAAAGACAAATCTATAGGCGTAGTGGTTGCCAGGAGGTAGGAGCAGAACGAATTGAGGAGTGATTATTTATTTATTTTTTTTTGTTTGTTTGTTTTTTTTTTTTGTCTTTTTCCTTTTTATTGGTACCAGGGATCGAACTCATGACTGCCTGCTTGCTAGGGAGGCACTTATGCCGCTGAGCTAAACCCCCAGCCCCAGGAGTGATTATTTAATGGGTACAGAGTTTTGTTGTGGGGTGATGAAAATGTGGAATTAGTTACTGGTGATGGGGTTAGGTCACTCACAACTATGTAAGTAAACTAAAAAAATCACTCAATTATGCATTTTGAAAGGCTGATATGGTATATGAGTTATATTCCAATTTTTAAAAAAGCACAGAGCTGTATTTTCTCTCACTGTATATGATTTAAAAAATTTGGTAGATAAGGAAGAGCACATTATTACCAGTTGGTCTATGTCATCTTTGTATTCCTAAGGCATTATTTCATTCAACAGGACTAGAGAATTTTTACTAAGTCTATAACATTTAAAAGGAACTTCATTTTAGCTTCATAATCAAATAGGAGATTTAGTATCTAATACTGAAGAAGATCAATGAGGCTTACGTTTCTTAAAAAAACTCTTCCTAAATTATTCCTTTTTCATTTATTCGAGATTCAACAGGCTTCACACTTTTTGGTATTCAGGAAGAATAAAAATGGCTTGAAGGGAGGAAAAGCAGTTCCAGTCCAATAAGTTCTTATAAACACCTTCTGAACAGGGCTCACTTCAGTTAAAGGCCCAGCAATGCAGCTAGTAAAGTCTCAAAAGCTCTATGAAAGCCAGAAAAGCAGGTGGAGATGCTTCTTTCCAATGCCTGGTTACCAAGTGGTTAATATTTTTTTGGGGGGGCATGAGTTTATATAATACTTGGTTAGCAGTATTAAAATAAAAATGATTGCTGCTTTAGGTCATTGCAAAAGTGCCTGAGATTTGAAGTATAAATGTTTAGACTGCTATTTCTTAATCTAACAGTCATTTTCCCATGTATTTTCAACTGTTCTGGATATAATAATGTAAAGTGGGAAGACGCAACTTGCTTTTGAACACAATACCCTCCCCTACCCAGAGGATAGAAAGGAAAAAACCTGGGATAGAGAAAGAAGTAATCACATTTAGATGTTGATATAAATCTTGTATATTTTATGTTTAAACTATTAATTGTAGTCTGTTGGTAACTCATTCGCTCATTTAACAAATATTCATGTATACCAGGCACTGTACAAGAGTTTGGGAGTGATCAGGGCACAAACCTTACCCATGGAAGTTAAATTTTTTATCTTCCCAGGATTACAACAGAGTGACAAGTGCAAACAGGGGTAAAAACAAACTACCAGCACACAGTAGCAGCCTACTCCAGTCCTGGGAGGTCATATTTCGTGCTAAAATGGAATCTAGGCTAAAGTGAAGAACCAGAGAAAGGTAGGTAGACAGGGGTGGTGATTTTTTTCTAGGCAGTTAGCAAATGGAAAATCAGGAGGTCTCAACATTGCAATGACTAGATGACACTGTTGCAAACAGGGCAAACATATTTTTCTGTGAATCATGTCCTTCCTACTAATGTTTATTTTGCTGATTTTCAGCAAAGGACCCTCTCATTTTTGGACTGGAAAAACTGTCAATTTTTGTTTTATTTTTCTAATATCATAATATTGTATTTGCCTTTATGCCTTCTACACTAGACTATAATATCCTCGAGGAAAGAATTTGAGACTTATACTGTATTGTTGTAGTTTTGCATGTGGCCCCTAATGAGCACTGAATGAAGGCCCTAAAGAACAATAATAGATCTGAAACACTGGCTCAGAGTGCAAGCTTTTGTGATAGTGTCACAATGAATTGTGCTCAACCAATTATTTGCTACTTGGACTTAGGTATTTTCCTATCAGTAAAATGGGTATAATACATGAATACTTATATTCACAGGATGGTTAACAGGATATGATGTATATCAATCATCCAATGGAAATATTCAATAAATGTTAGATACAATCTTTCTATAAGTTAAAAAACATTAGTTTGAACATTCCCACCTTTTTCCTACATTATACAAATTTACCTTCAATACTAGAAATTCCTGGTAGGGAGATGGGTCTTAGTTGGGCAGCTTTCTCAAATTGATCTCCAAGAAATTGTGAAAGTTTTGGCAATGATGATGGCTTGGATGTGAAACTCTGAACTTGCTCTGTAAGAAACACATACACTTTTAGTATAATCAAATCTAACACCAAATTAAGCTAGTATTAAAGGCTACCTTCTAGGGCAATTGCATATGTGCTTAATTTAAGAGAAACAGTTGAGAACTAAATAGCATAGTTACTATATAAAGTTAAAGGCTTGGATATATATATATATATATATATATATATATATATACACATACATACATACATATATACTTGTGGTTAAGTGAAAATGAATCAGTAGTTTGAAAAGACAATTTCATTAGAGTATGTTGTATAAGTTTAGCATCCCTAATTAAAACATCTGAAATCCGAAATGCTCCAAAATCTGAACTTTTTGAGCATCTGAACTTTTTTAAATAGCTGGGGATATAGCTTGACAGCATAAGCACTTGCCTGGCAAGCATGAGGTCATGAAGTTCGATCCCCAGTTCCAAAATACAAACCAAGAAAAAAAAATGACATAAATAGAAAATTTCACACATAACCTCATGTATGTGATGGGTTGTAATCAAAATGAAGGTACATTATATACTAAATAAAATTATCATCAGGCTATGTATATAAGCATAAAACATAAATCAATTTCATGTTTAGACCCAAGTACCATCCCTAAGACACCTCATTATGTACATGGATATATTTCAAAATCAGATATATTCCAAAATCTAAAAAAAAAATCTGAAATCTCATATACTTTCTATTCCAGATATTTTGGATTAGGAATACTCAAGCTGTAGTATAAGTTAATACTGTATACATTTAGATGGTAATAGTTTAAACTGCTAAGTGGCAACATAATGCTTGGATATTAAAGATCTTTGACATCCTGCAAGATCTGCAGTAAGTCTGGCCTGGGGTAATGTGCTACCAGACAAGCTGAGGCTAAAACAGTGTAAGACTATGAAGCATTGTGTTAGAACACTATGGTTCTTTTTCCTACCGAGGAGAATTCAAGGTAGCTGTACTGTTTTTCTAAAGCTGAAAAATACTTCTAGGTGGAGGTGTCAAGGTCAAGATAGTTCAATGTCTTTGTTATATCCTCACAAGGCTTAAGTCAGTCTACCGTAATGTATGTGCTAACATTGATTAGTTATATCCCTTACCTAGAGCCAAGTATCCTTCCATCCCAATAAATCCATCATTATATGTTAATCATTTTTAGGAAAACTAATATTTATTTTTAAGTAAATTTTATGCACTTACAGAAGTGAAAAGACTCCCACAAACAACATTTAGAACTAGTTTAATATACACTGTAATAGTAACATTTGTGCTTATAATTGGATGCAGACAGCATGGAGAAGTCTATTTCCAGCTAAACATTACCCATTCTTCCCTTAATAGACTACAGTACAAATCATGTACAAAATGGGCTTTTTCTAAATGAAAGCAAAGTGCGTCAGCTTCATCTCAGTGCACTCAGGCATCATTCCCTTGGTTCGATCAGTGCTGCTGGAATACCTTCCCCGCTCCCTCCCTGTGCGGGAGGCAAGCTGCCCAAGCCTGCGTGAAATATTCAGAAGCCAGCCCAGTGCTTACCTTCGTCTGCAGTCTCGGGAGGCCTGTTGCTCTCAGGTTTGTTTGTGAGAGCACTGATCAGCTGAAGCTTCTCTCGTAGCTTGGATACCTGAGAATTTGAACTATCTTCTTTCTGCTTAAAACAAAGATCAAAGAAGGTTTAAGGTAAAGAAAGACTTCACCTCAATCTTCACTGTGTTCCTAGCGCCTATTTAGCATATAGTGCTTGATCCTCAGGAGGTTTCTTCTAAAGGTGATGAAGGAATGAATTAGCAAATACTAGAGGTACCTTTGGTGCACTGTTGATTAGTGTCTAGTTGGATCCTAAAGGGAACTTATACTCCAGATGATCTGATTCACTGTGAACATTTGACTGATGGGAGAGGCACGTGCAGGTCAGCAGTAAAGGAAATACATCCTCCCTCAGGCGTCTGTGAGATACTCATTTCCTAAATGAGGAAGATACTGTTTTCTAGGAGCTATTTCACACTAACTAAATAACTGTCCTGTATTTCTCATATCACCTTGTGACCAGATTCCCTAAAGCAGAGCTGTATGCTTGTATCACCTGAAGAAAAAAACCAGCAGAACCCAAACAAATCACAAGTATATGCCCAATCTTCCCTGTCCCCTATGATGATTCAGCTGATGTAGCAAGTTATCATTAACATGAATAAGTAGTGATATTTCTAATTCAAAGTCTTAACTTCCTAATATCTTTGAAAAAAATTTCCCTCCTGTCTTAGTCCCAATATGAATCAGAGTGGCACATAAAAATACATTTAATTATAAAAAGGGAGGCATCTTGTTTTTCTGAAGCTAGTTTCTCACTGAGCTCACACTACTGTGACAAGCCCCAATCCTGTATTTATTAGAACAAGAACTCATCTCACATTTCTTTTAGTTCAGTATGTGTTTACTTGTCTCTCTTTTATCTTTACTTCTACCCTAATAGCGACTGTATAGTAGGTCAATTAGTCTCTGTAGGAAGCTCTAATAAGGAGATATGCAATCTTGATCAAAATACCATTAGCATACCTCACAGATCTAGAGAAAACATTCCTAAAATGCATATAGAACCATAAGAAACCCAAAACAGCAAAGGCAATTCTGGGTAACAAAGGCAAGGCAGAAGACATTACAATCGCTGACTTAAAGCATGATACTGGCAAAAAAACAGACCTGAGGATCAATGGAATAGAAGAGAAGATACAAACACAACTACAAACACACTCAACCACCTTATCCTTGACAAAGGGGTCAAACATGTTCACTGGAAGAAAGACAGCTTCTTTAATAACTGGTGTTAGAAAAATTGGCTTTCTGTATGCTGAGGACTTTAACTAGACCCATGCTTATTATGCACTAAAGTCAACGTAGATCAAATGTTGAAACAGTAACTAAATATACTAGAAAACAAAGTAGATAGAAAATCCTTGAGGATCAAGGGTAGTTTATGAACAAAAACCAAACTGCACGGGAAGTATTTCAAAGAATCAACAACTTGGATCCCATTGTATTAAAAATTTTTTGTACATCAAAAGAAATCACCAACAGGGCTGGAGATTTAGCTCTGTGGCACAAGTACCTGCCTGGAAAGGGTTCAGTCTCCAGTACTAAAAACGAAAACAAAAACAACAACAAAAAGAAATCACCAACAGAGCAAAAAGAAAACCTATGGATTGGGAAAAGATTTTTACCAACTGTCTCTCAGACAAAGGATTTCTATTCAGAATGTATACAGTACTGAAAAAAATCAGGGCCCCCAAATTCAAAGACCCAATCCAAAAATGGGCATCTGAGATGAATATACAATTCTTGGATGAAGAAATACAAATGGCAAATAAATACATGAAAAAATGTTCAACATCATTGGTCATTTCAGAAATGCCAATTAAAACAACATTGAGGGGCTGGGGATTTAGCACAGTGGCATAAGCGCCTGCCTTGCAAGCAGGCAGTCGTGAGTTCGATCCCTGGTACCGATAAAAAGGAAAAGACAAAACAACAACAACAACAACAACATTGAGATACCATCTTACTCCTAAAAGGATGGCCAACATCAAGAAATTAATAAAAATGCTGGAGGGGCTGTGGGGAAAAAAGAATTTGTCTCCACAGTTGGTGGGAGTGCAGACTGGTACAACCTCTGTGGAAATCAGTATGGAGATTCCTCAAAAAACTAGGATTGGAGGTTCCACTTGACCCGTCTATTCTCCCTCTGGATATTTTCCCAACAGAACAGAAAACATCATACTACAGTGATATATATATATATGCATCCATATTTATAGCTGCATAATTTGTAATAGATCTTGGAAACAACCCAAATGCCCATCAACTGAAGAATGGATAAAGATGTGGTATTTTTATACAATAGAGTATTACTCTGCCAAAGAAGGATAAACTCGAGGATTTTATTGGTAAATGGATACAACTAGAGATCATACTCATCAGTGAAATAAATCAGACTTGCATGTGTAAACACTGTATTGTTTCCTTTGTGTAAGAAACTGAAAGCATAAGTAAGATCCAAAAGTTACAATGGATTTAATGAAATGGGAAAAAAAACTGCTGAAAGAGAAAGAACAACTGGGATGGGGAAAAAAGAAAGAAAGGAAGGGAAAAGGAAAAAAAATATATAAACACAAGATAACAAAGGTAACTGTACCACTAACTCTTAGTTCATGAAAAGAACAGTTAGTGCTCATAATGTTTGATCAACTTTGCAGCTTGTATCTGGTAATCTGAGCAACTATTTTGAAGATATCAATATGTAATACAGTAACCACTGTTAAATTCCTATTATTTTGTTTTGAAATCCTATCTTGCTAATTTTTGTTGTTGTTGCTGTGGTTTTTTTTTCTTTTTGACTTTCTCTTTAAAACAAAACAACAAAACAACAAAAACATAAGATTTGAAAGTAAAGCCCAAAAAATATGTACACTGGTATTACGTTCTGATATTTACTGTTAAAATGTGAACTACTGGTAAAGTAACCTCTTTTTCTAATACTATCCATTTGTTACTTTTTTGTGCCCAACACTTATTTCTTGTCATTCTCTAAGTGATGTTTAAAATATTTGAAGTAGTTAGAAAACTCAAAAGTCCACCTTATGATACACTGAAACCTTAAATATACGTGACTTTATCAAGTCAATATAAAGTTGCTAAAGATGAAAAAAATAAAGATAGAAAGCACTATATCAACAGCTGCCTGTTCTTGGTTCTAGTTGAAGTTCATTTTCTCTGAATCTCATATTCTTTGAATTTCTCAAATGCAGATTGTCTGATTATTATTACATAACATTTTAGTCGTGCAGTCACAATCTTCCTGGCTACTCCTTTACTTTAGGCCTGAACTTAAAATATTAGATGGTACTCCAGTCAGAGAATGCTTTCCTTCCTGGTATAGCAAAGCATATCGCAATTTGCTTATTTTACATTGACAGTATGTCTGGGTAGATATGCAGTAAACGGAACTGGCTAAAGTTTAAATGGACTGGGAATGTACTGACACTACAATATAAACACAGGAAATGATTTTAAGGTTGAGCATTATTTTTAGATTATCTATGCATGTGTCCTATGATTAGTACAGACACTATCTTAGTTTTTAAGTCATTTTCTGAAGGAAGCTTTCTTGACTTCTGTTAACCCTTCCTACTTCTGTTAATACATCATATTCTATGCTTTTCTTTTGTAGCACTTATCAGACTTATGACTGATAAGCTGATTTTTATTTCTGGTTAAGCCACCTGTTATTTATCTTTATGGTCTGGGATTTTATGATATCAGTTCTGATAGTTATTTGATCCAAAGATTCTTGTTTGGGAGTGGCAGCCCATCACCTATCTTAGAGAGCAAAAAGAATAAGAAAAAAGATTAAAGACAATGATTAAAAGTTGATTTGACATCTAGCACATTAAAACAAGCTGGTCAAGGTTATTTTTGAGACAGGGTCTCAGTATGGAATTCAGGCTGGCTTTGAACTCACTATGTAGCCCAGGAAGACCTTCAGCTTACAATGATCCTCCTGCCTCCGCCTTAGGAAAGCTGTCACAGGTGTGCGCTACCACACTTGGCTAGTCAAGCTTACTTAGAGGGTCTCAGATCATGGTCAGCAGAAATGGGAGATACGCGGTAGAATGCAGAGAATTGGGAGAATGGGAAGAAAGAGGGAGGAAGATCAAAGAGATTGAAAACAGAAACTGGTGCCTCTAGTTGTTTCACAATTTTGAAATACAAAAGGTGATAAAACTTTATCCAGATCCAGGGAGGGCATGATGATGTTGCAAATAACAGTAGGACACATGGATTTTATTACCAGTTTTTTCCCTGGAGAAAAATAAAACAGGGAAGACAAGGGTCAGTAAGGGGAGTTTGCCTCAAAAACTTTCAAGGTACAATATTTATCAAATCATTCAAGGTTCCTAGTCCCTACTTAGCTTAGCTGAGTTCCAAAGCCCTTTTATAAATAGGACACCTTTAAACTTTGCAACTTTGTAATAAATTACACACCCCTATAAAGTGGAAGGGGAAATGGGGGGAGCATAGGTCTTCCTACTCTGCCCTTCAAAATCCTGTCAATTTGCTCCTCTGCGGCAGAAGCATTTCAAACATTCTTGCCATGTACCTGAGTTTGATTCTCCTTTTGGGCTTGCTTCCAGCCTTGTTGGTTATCTGAATTTATAGTACAATTTCCTATATTTGGTTTCTATTTTATTTTAATACATGTCTACATCTTCGTGTATGAAATCTTTAAATTAAGGTCTGCAATTGTTAAAAATAATCTACAGGGATCTCACTGTAATGTATATATGAAAGGTAACTTTAAAAAATTCTATCCATAAGAACATAAAAACCAGTAAACCGTAGGATTGGTCACTTATTAAAATCAGTTAGTTAAATGATGGGTTGGACTCAATGACTTTGTAAGTTAATCTGGTGTGACCTGATCTGGGTTAAATGTTTTCTTGACGTTAGGTCAAAGAGCTCCCCCTAACCTGTGGTAGAAATAGGATAAATCTGAAAGCTAAGTTTAGGCTTAAAGAAATGGCAAAAGATTATTTGTAATAGTCATTGTCATCACTCCCTTCTAATACTTTCCCTTCTAATACATTTAAACTTCTAATACTTTGAAAAGAAAAATATTAAGATGCACTTTTGAAAATATGTACCACAGCCTCCCACCAAATGGGCCACTGCAGCATAACAAACCATTCATCTCTGCCAACCACGTAGGGTGAGGCTTCGGCAACCACTAAGTATCTCCCTTTCCAAAGTGGAACAGCACTGCCTATGCTATTCATATCACAGAACTAGTGTAAACATTAAAGGAGACACTGATTAAACATAATACAAATGTGTAGCCTCTCAAATTTGCCAGAAGACTGTTCTCAAAAGATGGTGAAATGTCACCTAGGTAGAGACAAAACACAGTTCAACACGGATTATGTCACCAAAAAATCTGAAAAGCTTACCATGCTAGAGGTCAGGTTTGCTCTCTTTTCTATCTTGGTCAGAGCAATCGTGTCACTTTCTATCAGGTTTACTCTTTGGGTAACATTATTGAGTGTTGCATTCATTCCCTCGAGTTTAAGATCATTTTGTCTCTGGTACACCATTAGGGCACTATTTACTTCTTCTAAAGAGTTATGAAGGTACAGGATATCCTAGAGTGGAAATAAAGCAAGTTGCACAATCCAGCTAAAGACATATGTTAGGCAAACAGGCTAATGACACTGATCAACCATTACTGTGTTAAGTTACTAAAGCAAACTTCTTTTCCTAGTTGTGAATATCAATTGTCTCTCTCTGCCTTGTCCCTCACACTCCAAATTGTTCCCAGTTTACTCCCTCTGGAGTTGTTTGATCCCAGACAGATAGGAAAGGAAAGAGGGAAGAGACTACCTACATGATTCTCCCTGGTCTGAAAAAAGTGAGGAGTTTGGGAATTGATTACCCAATGTTTTCCTCACTTGTTTGCAGGAAAGCCTGTTGGCTTATTAACAGAAAGTCCCATTAACCTAATTTGTCAGAACAAAACTACCTTAGGAACAATACCAATTACTGAATTGGTTCATGTAACAAAACTATAACAAGTAGTGCATTATTTAGTACAAGCTTCAATTATTTTTATTGACGTCCTCTGGTACTGATTGCTACTTAAAAAGGAATGATGACTATAGGGCTTAAAGGGCATTAAACTCAGGATGGAAATTCTTCTTAGTGGAGATTTCCTTTATTTTCTTTAAGGTGATTTTGAATCCAGTATCCTTTTTTCTCCTCTCTTGCCTTTCATCTTTAGACTTTAGAGAATCCCAGTTTTTAAGGATATGTTTCCTAACATTCTTAGAATTACTGTGGTTCAAAATAGCCATTGCTCTGGAATAATCTGCTACCTATCTCTCTTTGACTTAACAAGATTGCTATTTTTCATAGAGTTTCAGGATAATCTGGCCATTCTGACTTTTAAGATAGGAAAAGGAATTTACTCCACTGACACACACACAGGAAAAAGCAGAGGGTCAAGGAAGAGACAGGGTGGCTTTTTGGATCCCCAAGATATCTACACACATTTATCTGTGCTAAGCTCTCTGGCAAGCAAAGAGATAGATGAGCCCATGCTGAGGCATCACAGCATTAAGCCCATACTCCTCAGGCTTCCTCCATAGCCCACTATAGTAGACAAAAAGTACCTGTTTCAAATTTTCACTGTGGGTTTTATTGTCAAGTTCTAAAGTAGCTGAAGGTGGTGGAATGATCTGGTTACTTCTGTTGGTCTCCTTCAAGAAGTGCTGATTCTGTTAAAATGGATGGAGGTTAGTGCAGGGAGCAAGTTATTACTAGGTCTACTGAACCAACTAGGGTGGCTGTTGAACATTCTAGCCTCTCCAGGGTACATTCACAGGTTTTAATTACAAGCACCCTATGAATCTATAGTGTGGTCAGTCTAGTGTGAGGCCCTGGGGGCACCACAACCTTTTGGGGATGCTCAGCGTGAAGGATGGATAGGATCAGTAATGCCCAGATTATTCCGGGGGATTGAGAACTTTCTAGTCTGCTTTTGATAATGGAAATAAACTGAACAAAACATTTTTTCTGTCCCCTATCTGTACTCCCAGAGAAACTGAAGAATCACTAGAATGTTCCCCTGACCAACTCAGTCTGAATCTGGGAGGGTGCCATCATTTTTATTGGTCCAACAGGGTTTCAACATCACAAAAGCAACCAATCATACAACCACTGGCATCAGACATGAAACACAACCAATGATCATGCATATTATAGTGTTTCCCTTATAACTCATGCCAAGATTTATGTTGGAGGGTTACCGTCCTTTCCCATTCCCTCCACACTAGACTCTCTTTGTAGAGATAAGGTGTGTTATGCTTATACTGTATATATTTTTCCACATTAGTGGGAAAAACTGCCTGTCTTAATCCTTTACTGTTTATAACTATAACTTAGTATAAAGTATGTCAGTTTTTGGATTATTATTGGTAGTCATGGAAGTTCAAAAGAGGTAGATTAATTACAATAGAATACAATTGGTTAAAACAAATTGTTTTTCTTGCAATATGAAATCCTAGACATTGAGCAAAGCTGTTTTATAATACATAAAAGCAACATTAAAGAGAAAGGAAGAAAAACTCAAGATTCTAGACAAACGAATTTTTCAATTGGGAAGAGGCATTTCAGAAAATGGTTCATTTGGCCAGGGATTTAGTTCAGTGGCATAAGTGCCTGCCTGGCAAGCCCAAGGTTGTAAGTTTGATTCCCAGTATAAAAAAACAAAAAAGAAAATTGTTCATTATTTGAGAATATACATAAGATGAAAGAATTGCTGAGCCATAGGTTCTTTATTACTGTGGGTCAAGGAGTTACACTATGGCAGATGGAACCAGAAGCCAGATGTCTGGACACTTAGATCAATGCTTTTCCTCTGGGTAGGCCGCCACTAAATAACAGGAATACTGGTTCTAAAGAAAATGAAAACTCCTCCATCCTGGAGTTCTCTTAAAAAGCTCAGTTATCCTTGGTACAGACTTCCTAGTTTAAACTAATAACTCTGAATGAAAGAACATGGGCAGTTCTAGAAATTAATCAACGGGCTAGGGAACTTTTGTGTGCTTTGAATAGTACTGATTTCATGTACATGTAACTTGTCTTCCCAGAAAGACAGCAAGGGATGTGTTGTCACTTTTTATTCTATATAAAACTTCCATGAAGCTGTTATCCATTGATTAAGGTCTCTGAATGGCTATGGACAGTTAACATCTAGAGTAACGTTAGGAGACCTAGAGATATTTAAAAACAATTCCTAGCCACTGCAAGTTTTTGCTTCTGTCTTAGCTATCTGTCACTGCATAACAAATTATCTCCAAACTTTAAGATTTAAAACAACAATTTTTTCGCATGATTCTGCTGGTTGAATGTGCTCAGCTGGGTGGAGTGCTTCTCCTATTCCATGTGGTATGGGCTGAGATCACACATATGCTTGCATTCTACTAAGATACTGCTGGAGCTGGAACACTCAATATGGGCTTACATATTCCAGATCACCTCTTGCCTTGGCTTCTTAGCACTTGAGAATAAAACTGCTTAAGTTTCTGATGTTCAGAATAGTTAGAAATCATAACTTGTCTTGAGGCAGTCTGCTATGTAGCACCAAATAATTGAGACAATTCTCTACTTCCTTTTCCTTCTTTCCTATTTTCCATCCTACCCATTTCATCCTCAGTAACTGTTTTATCATCATCTCCTCGAGGACCAAGTTTGTTAGAGATCCACTTTCTACTCTTAAGTTAGATGCTTAACTTACAGACTGAAGAACAATCCGTACATGTTACTTATTAGATATTCCAACAGATGCATAGTTTGTCCTATTCAGATCAGTGGAAAGTTGACATAGAAAAGGGTGAGTAAGAACATGTTGCCTATCTGCAGCATTTACAGACTTCCTTACCATATCACTCTGCAATGATTCTATGGTTATTTTGTGTTCATCCACAGTTTTCTGTATTGTCTCCACAGCAAGATGCACGCTGTTCAAAGTATTGCCAATGGAAGCTACACTCTGAATGGAGAAACACAGGAATGTCAAGTTTCTTTTCTTAAAAGTTGTATGAAGATATAAGTGATATGCAATAAACTGCACATATTCAAAATGTATAATTTAATTATTCTGATATAAATATACCTGTGAAACTATTACCATGATCAAGTAAGCCTATAAGTTCTCTCTTCCTGTATTCAGGCAATCACTGTTCTACTTTCTGTCACTACTGATCAGTTATTTTATAAAATTTTACATAAATGCAACCAATGAGTACACATTTTTTTTTTAATATGGTTTCTTTTACCAAAAGTAACTGAGATTTATTAGTTACTTAGCATGTTGCATTCCACTGCAAAGATGTATCAATGTGTATTCACCTGCTGAGGGACATTTTTAGGTTGTTTTCAGTATTTATGATTACAGTAAAACTGTTATAAACATTCTTGTACAAGCTGTTACATGGGTTTATGCCTTTACTTCCCTTTATCATTAGTTTTGCATCGTCATAGTATTTAGGAAGAAATGGCTGATCGTATGGTAGACCTAGGCTTTTCAACTAAAATTAAAATTTCAATTAAAAAGAAATAATATGATAAACTTTGAAGTTAGGTGTTTGGGATGACTTAACACTACAAGACTGAGCTGCCTGTAATAAAAGCAGTGTGGCATCATCAATGCACAGAATGTAGAGACAATATACTGAACAGAAGTCTCTAAGCTGAGATGCCATGTAAACGTTGTTGTTCAAAAGCTATATTCAAAGACATGTAACTGTTAGAGAATCCTCCCTGGCTGGATGTCTGAACTCATCAGGGTGTATGGATAGTAAGCTCTTGTTTAGGAATTTTTTAAAGGAACCAGCTGACTGAGTCATAAAGTAGGCAATGAAACTCTAAAACTAGTATTCCCAACTTCAAAGTGCCTGAGGAGGTACATACTAGAGGAGGCTCCACAAACGACTACTGGATTAATGAATGCAAGGGCAAATTAATTTCTTTTTTTAATACATGGTTGTCAGAGTTGCTTTGGTAAAATTAAGAGGCCTGCCCACGGCTGGCCTACTTTTTTTTCCCATTGGCTCTTGGGAACAATGGCAAGAATCTGGCCTTGTCAAAGTTGTCCCCATCCTTTTTTTTTTATGTTGCAAACAGATGATCATACTGCACACATGAACTATAGAGACTGAGTATACATGGATACTGTAGCTATATATAATTTTTTTTTGTCTTTTTGAGACAGGGTCTCTATGCAGTTCAGGCTGGCCTTGACCTCACTTTGTAGCTTAGGTTGGTCTCAAACTTGCAACGATCCTCCTGCCTCAGCCTCCTGAGTGTTGGGATTACAGGCGTGAGCCACCATGTCCGGCTGAGACTGTTGCTAGAAAATAACAAATTTTCGTTTTCTTTATGGCTTCACTATTCTAGAAAAACACATTTATAGATAGTTGGATTCTGGCATATGATCAAATCAAAACCACACACTAACTTTTTTTTTCTTGAGACAGGGTCTCACTATGTAGCCCAGGCCAGCCTTGAACTTGTGGCTATCTATCCTTCCTCAGCTTTCCGAGTACTAGAATTACAGGTGTGTGCTTAATCATGCTAACTTTCAAAAGTCAAGGATCTTAGACTTAATAACCACTGTTTGGGGTTTTCTTACTTCTGAATTCCTTCTTCCTGCTGTATGAATGTTCCTTGTGTTTATTTCAGCACTTTCTTTTTCCTTACAACCCCTGTACCTTCTCCCCATGAAGCATTAAGGATTCCTGAATATTATCTATCTGCTTGGTCCTTGCCTCCAGCTCTAGGCCTGAATCCTAGGAATCAAGTAAGCAGAAGTTCCAAATGATTATTTACCTAGGCTCTGCAGTCTAGGGTAGACATCTGTTGGGTGAGTTGCTTATAGGATGTACACATTCACCTTTGTAAGAATAACATCAAATTGTTTTCCAAAGAGATTTTTTCCAACTTCTACTTCCTAGCAGAAGTATTTGGAAGTATCCTTGCTTTACCCTCTTGCTAACACCTGTTTCTGAAATGTCTCACTTTTATATTTCCCTTGTCATCTTGTTTTTTACAAACACAATAACAAAAACTGTCAACTTTTTCTCAACCATAAAAGAAGATATTTAGAGCAATTCTCATATATAATTTATGTTCCTCTATGAAGACAGTGCAAATGACAAATTGAAAGGGAAATGGCTGAAAGGCAAACCCATATATGCTTAATGTAACAGTTTCAGCAAAGCAATTTGGGGACTCAGACAAATCAAAAAATGTGAACTCATATAAACCATAGCTAAAGTAACCTCTGCAAATTAATGGCCTGATTATCCAGATCAAAAGAAAGATGTTCTGAATTCTTTAGAATATAAAGATATTCTCTATGACTGCCCTCTCAGGGCAGATGATTTAAAATATCAGACTTTCAAAGAAAACCTGAAAGAAGCTAGAATTGAAGGAGTAGGTTAATCTCAGTACTCATACATAGCACTGACCTTCTGAAGTCCCTCTACGGTGTTAGGCAGACTAATTAGGTCTGCAGCTGACTTGACATTGGCTTTGAGGTGGTTTACAGCAGAAGTCAACTGAAAAATCTGGAAGGGAAAAAGCAACAAGCAATGAATACAGAATTTATAGAATATGCACTTCTTTTATAAACTTTGTGGTTGAAGGTGTCAATGTACCCTGGCAACTCACAGGAGCAGAGGAGCTATAGTACCTTGGCTAGAGCTGAGATTTGGAAGGCAGCAGTAATACACCTTCTTTCCCTGCCCAATTTAAACTAGTGCCAAAGAGGGAAAGGCAGGTATTATTCTTTACTCTAGTCCTGGCAGCTGTAAGGTCCAAAAATCTTAAATTACCCAACAGATGCAGTAATTACCATACAATCCTTCAACAATTGAACAGGAAAAAAGCTAATGATCAAGAACCACTTCAAGATTTCATTTTGGTAAAATATAACACCTCAGTTATTTAACTGAACTTTTGTTCCTGTCCAAGTGGGAACATATTTTATAAAGTAAAAGCCCATCATCACAAAATAGAGTCTACATATACTGTATCCCAACAACTTGAACAGTACTTTCAACTGCTTGGGGATTTGGTTTTGGTTTAATAATGTGATTAATATTTCAGACTCAATAGCTCAACCAAAGTACTACTTTGTACCCTGAAGGCTCAATAAATACCCATTGACTCACTGACTGATGCAATGAATGTATTACAATAAGCACTGAATAAAAATGTGACTTCCTTTCTGCTTCTTAAGGGTAGAATTCTAAATAGCTGGACTTCTTTCTTGAATGGGGGCTGGGAGAACCTGCATAACATTCAATTTTAGGCTATGAAAATCATATTCTAACAATTTTTACAGTGTAGCTTAAAACACTCTTCAAAGATTCTCAGCTATAAACTGCTCTCCTATTCCAAATCCTAGGATAAAAACACAGATCTGATAATAGCAATTAGAAGAGTGGCCTTTATACAGTAACCATTTCACTTTCTGGGTACTTGCTATAGACTAAGCACTGTGGTAGACAGCAGATGGACATCAGACCAAGGAGAAACTGATTCCCTATCACTCCCTCAACAAGTGCTTGGCATCTTCTCTGTGCCAAGCACTGCTATAGGCACTGAAGAGACAGTGGCAAGTCAGCCCATGGGGCTTTGCTCTCATGGAGTTTAATACTGGTAGAAGGTGACAGAAAAACAAAGAATCAGTAATAAGTTGGTATGAACAAAGGAGTCCAGTGAGGAACCTGGTAACTCAGGAACTCAAGTTCTCATTTCCATCTTTTGCTTAAGAGGGGTGAATGTAGAAGCTTAAGATCATTTTTCATTCATTCATTAATGCAACAAATATTTATCAAGCCCATATATATATATATATATATATATATATATACACATTTATACACATAAATACATTTTTTTGTGTGTATGTGAGACAGGGTTTTACTACATAATTCAGGCTGGCCTTGAACTTGGGGCAATCCTCCTGCCTCAGCCTCCTGAGTCAAGCTCTATTGTATACTAGTAGTGAAAAATACAGATATTAGAATCTTTGTGGTTCCTACATTTTAGACAATTTTATGTATAAAACACCAGGTGGAAGTGACTTGGTAGCTACTTCGGATCAAAAGGTTCCAGAAGGGGCTGGATGTGGTGGTATGTACCTGTAATCCTAGCACTTTGGAAGGCTGAGACAACGAGTTGGAGCCTATAGGGAAGCTGAATTTAAATAGATCTATATAACAAGAATCAATCATATAAAAATTGAATGTACATGTCAGGGTTAAGGAAATTACTACGGCAATTAAAAGAAGGTGCTTGGTATATTTAAAGGACAGAAAGGTATTTAGGTAGTAGAAGTTGGCTAGAGATACAGAAAAGGGCCAGAACTGGTAGAAATGCTTTTGTAAATCAGAACAAAGATATGCATTATATTTGAGTTGCAATGGGAAGGGGTGAAATGATAATTACATGGTTGTAGATACCTTGTGTGACTATACTATCGCTACCTTGTGGAAACAGGAGTCTAGGAAGAAGATGATTTGGGTAGTCTGGATAAGAGACAATGATGGCTTGGATTTCACTTGCATCAAAGGTAGCTGCAGAAATCAAGATGACATGATTTGCTGGGACTAGATATGAGAGATGAGGAGGAAAAAAAAGAATTAAGAAACTCCTAAATCTTTTACTTCAAGGAGTTAAAAGGGCTTATTAAAGGAATAATTAAGCATTAACTGTGATATTGGGTAAAATCATTTAAAAATGATATTAGTGGAGGCAGAAAATGATAGGCTTTATTGAAGTAGGACTTAAGAAAATGCTGATGGAAAAGTTAAGTTTTATATATAAAAATAAAGCAGGTGCCAGGTGTAGTGGTGCATGCTTGTAATCCCAGCACTCAGGTGGCTGAGGTGGGAGGCTGGGCTACAGGGGAGACCTGTCTCAAAAACAAACAAACAAACAAACAAACCGGCCAAACTTTCTAGGTTAGAAGTGTGACAGTGGCATTGGGGAATGGGTAGAGAACAACAATATCATAGGTTCAGCAGTACTATTCCTATGCTTCTGAAAGCAACAATGATTTAATTATTGAGGTTTCTCTCCTCCACAAGACTGTAAATTCCATGTGATCAATGATCATGTCTGTTTTATATTCCACAACACGCCTGCCACACAGACAGTAATTCAATAAGCATTTAAAGAATGAATAGAAGAATGAATGGCTGAGAACTAATACTTGGGATGGATCCTGAGGTGGCTAGTCCCAAGCAGAACAGAGGGAAAGGCCAGGAGGTCAGAAATAAAGTTACATAAATAATGAACTTATTTTTCTCACAAGTATAGTGCTCTGACTATGAAAACAAAAACAGCAATAACAACAACATCATTACCATCAAAAGTTTAATAACCACTGCAGAGGAGTGTGTGATGGTTTGAAAAATGAATCTACAAATTCTTTAATAGTTTCCCTTTAAGATAGACCTTAATTCCCTTCCCCTTGAATATGGTTTGAACTTATGTGACTTGCTTTTAGTGAAAAGACAATTTTAGTGAAGTGACAGTTGGCAACTTTGGAAACTAGGTCATATGTCAAAAGGCATTATTGCAACTAAGGCTTCTCTGCTCTCTTGGGTCCCTCACTCTGGGAAAGCTAGCTGCCATTTTGCAAGAAAACCCAAACAGTCCCAGGTTGGGAGAAACTGAAATCTCTTGCCAATAGCCCTGAGAGGACCTGCCAAGCCTATTCAAGCCTTCAGACGAGGAAATCCTGGCTGGTATCTTAGCCTTAGAGACTAGCCAGAAGCATTCTGCTTAGCTGTTCCCCAACAGAAACTAAAGAAGAATAAATGCTGTCATTAAGCCACTAAAATTTGGGATGAAATATAATCCAATGACAAATGACTAACAGAGGTAATAAGAATTAAATGCCATACATAACTAAAGCTCTGAGCACAGTACGTAGCACAAACAAAACATCAAGTAAGTGACAGGTATTATTAGTAAAATTTAATGAGCATTTAAACATGTAATTCTCCATAAGTGCTCTAAAATATGCAGACTACTTATCAACATTCTGACTCTATCCCTTCAAAAACAGAGGTGAAAAACATCAATACACAGAGAGATACTTTTAGTAAATTATAAACCTCTTTAAATTAGTAATTACATCAAGGAAGTTTTCATCTATCTCTTTTAGAAGATATGAATAATATTAAGGTTTGAAAAGCACAAAAAGAAACAAGCATTCTCATGCATTGTTTGTGAGAGCATGAATCAGAGAAGCCGTTTTAGAATTTATCTAGGGATAGCCTTCAACATTTGAAGTGTTTAGGTTCTTTAATCAGCAATTTCATTTCTTGAAATCGATTCTGACTATTTGCTCATGTGCACAAAGATACATGCACTAGGATATTTGTGTCTTCTTTATTTGTAACAGCAAAGCAACTAGAAACAATCTAAATGCCTATCATCTAGGATGTAGATGTATTTGGTGAGCAAAGCAAACTGTGGTACAACACATATTGAATGACTCCACTTATTTACACTCACAGGCTAACCCACAAGCTAATTCACATTAAAAGCTATTAAAGCTTTGTAAATGCCTAGAGGTTTGTAAAAGTGCAGCCCACATTATAGACAGTGGATAAATATGAGGACAGAGAGCACAAAGAACAGAGTGTGTGCATGTGCGTTTAATGGTGGCAGACAGACGGGGACCAAAGGGAAATCTGCATGAGTTCTACATGTATTTTCTTTTTAAAATCTTGTATAATAATATATTCATATATTACTTACAAATTTTTAAAAGACAAAAGATGAGAAAAAATATATATGAAAAGAAATCACATGATTTTTGGAAGAGATGTCTCTTTCTTCCAAGTCCTCCACTGGGCCTTCCAAGATCATCTGAGCATGCCCATGAAGTAGTAGGAAGGATATGTTTCACTCATTGCCCTAAAGTATGAATATAACCAGCCCAAAATAAATTTGATGGACAAGAATTTAGTTATTCCAAGTGCTCTAATTAACTAAATACCTCTGAGGCAACTTGAAGCAAATGCAGGTAGGATTAGGTGAAGTATTATTCCACCTCATACCATGCCACACTCAGTCTAGACTTTAAGCTGTCTTGCTGAAAGAGTATACTGAGGAGAGCTGACCATCAACTCTGTAGCTCACCAACACACTTAGAGCTTTGTATTCAGATCATACACTACTCACTAGGGCTCAGCTATATTTCTTATATTACAAAACCAGATTCCATCTTCCAGTCTTCCCCTCTTCAGCGCAGTAATGCCAACACCTGGGAAATTACAGCAAATCCATGTGCATAACTGGAATGGAAAGATAAAGGGCACCTTCCCATTACTGTCTCTGGAGCCTCTCAGGTTCTGTAACAGGCAAACCTAGAATGTCAGATTAGATTCAAGCACACAAATGTGTGCTAAGAATCATTTTTTGCAATTTGAAGAATCTATTAAGTTGAATTAAATAGAAACCATAAAGAAAAAAAACCCTCACATTCCAACCAAAAGATGAATCGTGGCTTTTATGCATATTACATGATTTTTCATTAGCAAAA